GGTCCAGGATATCTAGGGTCCATACTGGTCCAGGATATCTAGGGTCTACAGTGGTCCAGGAGATCTAGGGTCCAAACTTGTCCAGGATATATACGGTCCACACTGGTCCAGGATATCTAGAGTCCACACTGGTCCAGGATATCTAGGGTCCACACTGGTCCAGGAGATCCAGGGTCCACACTGGTCCAGGATATCTAGGGTCCACACTGGTCAAGGAGATCCAGGAAGATACTCTGGATTACCAAGAGCATCTACTTCATATTGTTCTTCACCTTGATTCACATTGATTTCTTAATGATTATGCTGAAACTAGAAGAAAAACAAGGTACTATATAATCACCAATGCTGATGTATAAAGTAAAAAAAATAGTGCAGAAGTAGGTCAATTTGCATAACGTTGCAGCACTGCAACCTAAGTTTTGTGAAGATTTTAAAATAAATTATGAATTGATTTTTAAAACAACACATACAATATGTAATACATACCTTAGGTTGTCAGAAACATATTTTTTGAAATTCCAAAACCAGTTTATTTGACTTTGATGAACTTTGAAACGCCAACTAAAAATGCTGATAAAAAAAACCTTGTGAACATGCACAAATTTGAGATCGGCTTGGCGGTAAAACAAATCTAGGTCACTTAGACATGCGCAAGCTGTAGGTTAACATTGTAGCAGTCAAACAACGTGATGCACAGAATAAAACATGTTTAGGCTAATATTTTATGGGAAGGTAACTGGTATGTTGCAGATTTGTATCGGTATGCATTTAAGGGTTAAAATCTATACAATTTTAAAGATGTATAAATGTAATTTTAATGAAAACAAATAACATTTTCTTGGCCTGTCAATTTCTATTGACATTAATTAACAATTTTAACATTATTTTTAGATTGGTTATTATCGTTGTGTTAGCTTGCATTAATTAACAACTTAAATATAAGTTTTACAATAGTTGTTATTTTTGTATCAGCATGCAATTAACAACTTAAACATTAAATATATATTAAATATATATTTGTCAGTATCTGTTGAACCAAAATAAGGAAGAACCACTTTGATAGACTGGTTTTAGAAATAACACTTGATAGTAAGGACAGTCTGGCTCTATAATTTTACTAACAAACAAGGATTTACAGCAGTTTAAAAATTTCTAACAATATATAATTAATACAGGTATACCATTTTGCAATAGTAATTAAAATGTATTAAGTAACTTTAGTATAAAGAATAAAAACACAAAAAATAAAGATAATTTTTTTTAAAGGTATAACCCTTCTTAAAGCCCTTCTTAAAAATAAATTTGTTTTGTTATTCTTAAACTTTTTTGATAAAATAATCATAAATCTTAAACACTTGTAATTAAAAGTTCAAGTTAACAGAAAGTAAACCTCCAAACATTCTAAAAATGTATGCAAAAAGACATTCTAGCTTTATTATTACAGTTTCTAGAGTAAACATAATAAAAAAATAAAATAAATATAATAAAATGCTAAAATAATGGAATAATAAAAAGAATGGGAGAACCTGTTACAAACTACACAGCAATGTCTGATTCATTGGGCTATTACAGCCTACAAATGGGGATGGACTGGGCATGCCTTTAATAGAGGCCAACATAGAGAGGCCAACATAGTGAGGACAACATTGTGAGGCCAAGATTTTGAGGCCAACATAGGGAGGCCAACTTAGTGAGGCCATCATAGTGGGGCCAACATAGTGAGGCCAACATACAGAGGCCAACAGAGTGGGGCCAACATAGAGAGGCCAACATAGAGAGGCCAACATAGTGAGGCCAACATAGTGGGGCCAACATAGAGAGGCCAACATAGTGAGGCCAACATAGAGAGGCCAACATAGTGAGGCCAACATAGTGAGGCCAACATAGAGAGGCCAACATAGTGAGGCCAAGATTTTGAGGCCAACATAGAGAGGCCAACATAGTGAGGCCAAGATTTTGAGGCCAACATAGAGAGGCCAACATAGTGAGGACACAATAGTGAGGCCAACATAGTGAGGCCATCATACTGAAGCCACAATAGTGAGGCCAACATAGTGAGGCCAACATAGAGAGGCCAACATAGTGAGGCCAACATAGAGAGGCCAACATAGTGAGGCCAACATAGTGAGGCCAACATAGAGAGGCCAACATAGTGAGGCCAACATAGTGGGGCCAACATAGAGAGGCCAACATAGAGAGGCCAACATAGAGAGGCCAACATAGTGAGGCCAACATAGAGAGGCCAACATAGTGAGGCCAACATAGTGGGGCCAACATAGAGAGGCCAACATAGAGAGGCCAACATAGAGAGGCCAACATAGAGAGGCCAACATAGTGAGGCCAACATAGAGAGGCCAACATAGAGAGGCCAACATAGTGAGGCCAACATAGTGAGGCCAACATAGAGAGGCCAACATAGTGAGGCAACATAGGAAGGCCAACATAGGGAGGCCAACCCAGTGAGGCCATCATAGTGGGGCCAACATAGTGAGGCCAACATAGAGAGGCCAACAGAGTGAGGACACAATAGTGAGGCCAACATAGTGAGGCCATCATACTGAAGCCACAATAGTGAGGCCAACATAGTGAGGCCATCATACTGAGGCCACAATAGTGAGGCCAACATAGTGAGGCCAACATAATGAGGACAACATAGAGAGGCCAACAGAGTGAGGCCAACATAGTGAGGCCAACATAGTGAGGCCAAAATAGTGAGGCCATCATACTGAGGCCACAATAGTGAGGCCATCATAGTTAGGCCAACATAGTGAGGCCAACATAGTGAGGACAACATAGAGAAGCCAACATAGTGAGGCCAACATATAAAGGCCAACATACAGAGGCCAACATACAGAGGCCAACATAGAGAGGCCAACATAGAGAGGCCAACATAGTGGGGCGAACATAGTGAGGCCAACATAGTGAGGCCAACATAGTGAGGCCACAATATTGAGGCCAACATAGTGAGGCCAACATACAGAGGCCAACATACAGAGGCCAACATACAGAGGCCAATATAGTGAGGCCAACATAGAGAGGCTATCATAGTGAGGCCAACATAGTGAGGCCAACATAGAGAGGCCAACATAGTGAGGCCAACATAGAGAGGCTATCATAGTGAGGCCATCATAGTGAGGCCAACATAATGAGGCCACAATATTGAGGCCAACATAGTGAGGCCAACATACAGAGGCCAACATACAGAGGCCAACATAGTGAGGCCAACATAGAGAGGCTATCATAGTGAGGCCAACATAGTGAGGCCAACATAGAGAGGCCAACATAGTGAGGCCAACATAGAGAGGCTATCGTAGTGAGGCCATCATAGTGAGGCCAACATAGTGAGACCACAATATTGAGGCCAACATAGTGAGGCCACAATATTGAGGCCAACATAGTGAGGCCATCATAGTGAGGCCAACATAGTGAGGCCACAATATTGAGGCCAACATAGTGAGGCCAACATACAGAGGCCAACATACAGAGGCCAACATAGTGAGGCCAACATAGAGAGGCCAACTTAGTGAGGCCAACATAGAGATGCTATCATAGTGAGGCCAACATAGTGAGGCCAACATAGAGAGGCTATCATAGTGAGGCCAACATAGTGAGGCCACAATATTGAGGCCAACATAGTGAGGCCAACATAGTTAGGCTAACATAGTGAGGCAAGTGAAGGGCTGGAAAAGAAAAGTTGGCTATCCACAGCTATACTGGTAAAGGGTACTGGAATGAAGAAAATAATTAGGGTAGCAGGACTTATGTTGACTCTACAAAAAAAAAAGGGAGCTGCTCAAAGACGAATTGGGTAGAGAGGTTAGCTCCCTTTTCCCCCTAACAGCTTTAAAGGTCTAAGTAATTTAAATATTTATTTTTAGCTTCTAAAAAAACACCAAACATACAAATAAACAAAACAAAGATAATTGGTAAAAGGGTTAGAGCTGTTGTTCACAGATAGATTTTGAGACTGAAAAGTCATATATATATATATATATATATATATATATATATATATATATATATATATATATATATATATATATACATTACAAAGAAGCTAGAAGCAGTGGATGCTATTTATTAATATTCATAGAATATATAGTTCAAATGCCTGGGCTGTTGAGGCAACCCATCTTGGTGAAACAACTGCTGCCTTGTAGTTTGTTCGTGGAAAGAAAAAGCCTATGGCAGCAAATCCAGGTGGAAAAGCAGGCTGAAATCAGTCGATGGGCCATTGGACACATAACACATAGACATGTAATAGGTCTACTTAATATGTCTGGAGGAAATCAAGTCTAATATTTTACTTAAGACTGAAAATTAATCACAATTTTACTTTCTGTATAAAAAAGTAAATAAAGGAAAAGTGTTGACACAGGCTGATCTGAAGTCTACTGTGAAGACTTTAAAACTTGTCCCATAACTGACTCTTGATTTTAACTTGTGTAATATTTTTAAAATACTGCTCCATATTAAAAGGCATTTGATAAAACACAGATTCATTTAAATTAATTCAACCACATTACATCAGCGTTACACAGAACTTTCAATAATTATTAAATTTTAATTTTAAATGACATCATTTGAAGATTTAACCATTAAAAAATTTGTTAAAATATTATTTAAAAAGATTTTTTGGTTACAAAATTATTAACAGCTAGCTTGAAACAGGTGACTTGAATTACATGAAGTACACCAGTCGTGGGCTGCGTTGAAAGAAATATGGCAATGACACAACTATGTTGATAACTAATGTTACTTGTTACAGGTCACTTGATAACTACATCTAATACAGGGAGAACAAATCCAGTATCCATTAATCCAGAAGTTGAATTTTCTGTTGAAAAAAAGATATTGTGATCGAAATATCTAGAGCATTTTTAAAGTAGAATGACTTGTATGTAAAAATGAATTAAACTTTCTATACTAATACTAAGACTTATTAAATTAGCAAAAACCTAAGGTCGTTAAAAAATATTTCTTACCAAAATTTGATGAAAGTCAATTTCAAGCAAAGTTCCACATTAGAGCCCACATGAACATTGCCAAGACACCGTAAGAAGACATCAGCTTGTTGGAGGAACCTACAAGAGGAATTAAAAATATTAAAAAAAAATGTCATGAGAGTACAATATTTCTATGTTTAAATTGAATGCAAGTTAAAAAGTTATTATACAATATAGGTTTGAGAAGCCAAACATTGATTTTTAATAATAATGATTCCTGTCTCTTGTAATTTTCACATATTTTTTTCAGCAGAAGTCATTGAGAAAAGACTATTTAAGTTATCCTATATTAAAGTAAATATAAAAATATACTACTTTCTAGATATGTAAGAAATTGGTAAGCACAATCAATCATGTTAAAAGTCTACACTAGTAATTAGCTACAATATTTGTAAAAGTGCAAAAATAATAAGGTTTATTTTATGGCACCTAAATTTTTATCTTTTCATCTGCTGGGATTTGCTCACACAATACATTCTGATGCATAATTACTTTTAGCTTTTCATTAAAACAAAATAAAATAAAAACTAACCTTTGACAATATTGAAATTGTAGCCGAGGTCTTCACCAACTCCATTTCCAACAACAAGTTTGTACCAGCCTAAGTGTTTCTCTTCAGCTTTAGTGAACTCAACAATGACATTCCCTATGGGGCCAGTAGTGTTGCTGTATACCACTGTAAAGTCTGTCATGTTGACATCACTTTGTTTTTCCAGCTTTAGCTTGGTGGGTGCTGGGTAGCCAATCAGTTGGATGTTGACCACAGCCCTAGTGCCCATTATCACACTATACTTGGCAGGTGTATTGTGGGCATAGATCTCTTGGGGACCTGTAAATAAAATTACATTTTTAGCTAAACAGGAAGGTAATATAGTTGAGTTGAGATGGCCAAGGATTGTTAAGATAGTGTTGAAATTTACAGAAAACTAAGAAATCTTACATATGGCTTAGAATTGACCCCAACAAGTTTAAAGAAATGCCTTAAATACTTCAATGAAACTTTTGGTTTTTGGCAATAATAATACATTTAAAAAGTAAAACTTGAAAAATTTAATTTTTTAAAAGTCAATATTTTAAAAGCTGTTTACCAATAGTCTTCTTCAAGCCTTAATCTTAGCCTGAAATTTCAATTTATTTAGACAGACTATGATTGGCTATATACAAATGTAATCCAATGAAAACCTCTCTTTGTAATTGTAGTGAATTATTGAAAACTTTGCTGATAAAATTGTTTTAATAAAAAACACTTTTTTAAAACCACATTGACAGCTAAGCCATGTTTATTTACATTTACAGTCCGAAATTGTAAAAAAAAATGTTTTGGATATTAAAAAATTTTGGTTGTATTTACCAAACATACTAAAATCATCAAAAAACGTTAAATCTTTGGTAAATTCTAACAATAACCATATGATCAAGTTTTATAACCACATTTAACACTGCGATATTACTATATTTAATAGAACATTAATGGAACATTTGAAACTGTTCCCACTAGGGTCCATTATACTTCCCTTACAGCTATATATATATATTGAGTTTTAATACCAGCAGAATTGCCTCAGCATTGTTATTTTTTGTTACCCCTATCCTTCCCATACAATCAATTAAGCTGTTTGGCTTAATAAGCTTTTTAAATTGTGACAATACGTTACAGAAAAAGCAATAACTAATCAAAACAAAACTTACATCGAATGTACACATTAATGTATTTGGTGTCAGCCACTGAAAAGCCTTGGCTAGTAGCTTGACATGAATACTGTCCAGCTTTTCTGCAGTCTGTCATTGGCATAATTGTGATTAGTCGGTCATATAAGTTGTAATCACGCTGTTCACCATTTTGCAACATTGCTAATCCAGGTTCTGGATCTCCTTTAGCAGAGCAGTTAAATACAAGCGTTGAGTTCAGGTCTACCACAAGATCTGTGTTTGTGCCATTGACAGTGAAGTTCGTTATTTTTGGTGGCCCTGAGGAGGTAACAAATATTTCTAGTTATATAGTTAACATTGAAATACGTTATTGTTAATGGCACTACTGTAAATATTTTTAACTAGCATTGGCAGGTGATATCATTACCACTACGATGGCAATAAAAGTTGTTAGTAGTAGAGCATTTAATGGATGTTATGATTGGCAGCAATTAGGAGATGTAGGCTATTTTTAATATTTCACATATATTTCCAAATGTTAATAATGTCATGCCCAATAATAAATATATTTTATCAGAGAATTCATTTAATTGTGTTTTGTAAAACATAACATACTTGCCAAATGAGGGAAATATGATATAAACGTTCTTGTTCCGCCCAAGCGAGTCACAGGTGCACAGAAAAATATTTGATGTTTGTCTGTTGACAGAAAATTACTATGTTCAATGAACGAATAAAATATGAATAACCTTTTTTGATTATATTTTAAGCATAATTGAATCCTCATTGAGTTTATATAAATAGTAATGAGAACACAATACAATTGCAAATATCACACAACATAAAATGAGTGATTGAAAACTGCATCTTACAACTCTACATTTTTTTAAAGCAGAAAAGTGTATTGATGTAATTAAAATATTGGTTTTGCTTTATTTATAAGCACAGTGGGTTTCACAGTACCACAAATAAACAGAATGATGACAAGAATGAAATTGGTTTGATGATTTTCATTATAGGGATGTGTAGAATGTCTTGATAAATTATTTGCTTTAGCAATTTCATAAAGAAAATCTGTGTCATAATGTAGATAGATAGAAATAAGACTAGACTGATAGCGATTACTAAAGACGTTGCAAATTTGTTTTGGAATTGTTGGTAGATGATTTGGTTTTGAGAGTATGTGTGCATGTTTAATAACATATTTGTAGCGTGAGTGTGACGCAACAATGTAAACGATGACGTAGGACGCAGGAGTGAAGACAGTTGGGTTTTCGCCATTATGGAAAAAGGACATGTTTTGTATTTTATAGAGTTGATCTAGTATCAGTAGTTGACAGTTAAAGTTCAAGATATATTTTCATAATCGGCCTTGTTGGTATTATTAGTGTCGTTGGAAATAAGAGTGTTCCCATCCTCATCACATGTCTATACTTGAGTGTTAGTAATAGAAGTAGTTCATCAAATATAATGCATACATTTCCCCCCCCCCCCTTTCCCACCACAATCTGTTATCATATGATCCTGGCTTCTGTCTTACCGACATCGTCGTATGAAACATTCAGTATTGTATTCCGAGTTCCAGGAACAGGTTTTGTCAAGTTTGTGATGACATTGACCTGTCCATTGAAGTACCAGCCAGCATAGCCTTCATTGGCTTGTTTGGTCATGTTGCAGGTGCAGGTCCTAGTTTCTCCAGGATACATGAGTTTAGAGCCCTGTGATTTACAGGAAGGGCTCAAGTCTGCTGATGGCAACGCTGGAGGAGACAGACTAAATGAGTAAATTTCATGTTGTATCCAAGTTTGTCTTTGGCATAGAGAAGGGAAAAATAGATGCAGTAAATACATTGAAATATGTGTTTAATGAAGGGACTTCATGGTTAGATGCTAGAGCATTCAAATGCTATCATGAAAGTCCTGAGTTTAGATCCCAGACTTGTGGTGTCCCTGAGCCAAGTCAGCTCAAATGGGTACCAGACTAATGTAAGGCTAAGGTAAAGGCAGCTGAGTGAAGTGCTGACCAAACTATTCCTTTACACACTGAGGTTACACTTACAGTTATTGGTGAACTGTATTTTATTTGCTACAAGAACCATTAGGTTTAAAAGAGGACATTTTTTTTTCTTTTTTTTTCACTTTACTAGGGCTGCTTTTTAAATGTGTACTACTCGATTGATGAACAAAGTAACAAAAGTAACAGTTAGACCATTAAATAGGTCCCTTAATCTTATAACTAAAACTATTTAGTAAAATACTAATGCACATTCCATCACTTGGTGTGTGGGGTGCAAGAGATACTAATTAGACACAAATTAAAATGTAGGCCCATCAATTTTATTTAAACAACTATTTAGTAAAATATCAACTAACACTCAATCAACTCCTATGTGTTGTGCAAGATATTATGTATGTTTAATCATTAAGTGCAGAAAATCTTAAATCTGTACCTAGCATTATCTACTTTATCCGTTTATCTTCTATGACTCAGCTATCGCTATCTATGATATTCTACATTTTACTTTACTGAAATCTGTTCAACTTTACAACAATCCTAGACTTCATCTAATAACTAATCACCTGACTATACTATAACCTCAATCCTTGACTAACCCTGATTGTAGACTAACCCCTACTGGTAACACAATCTACTGTATAACTGCCCTCCACTGGTCAACTCATTTCTTCAACTCATCATGCTATATATAACAAATCTTTTTATTTGTTCCTACCTACTGAACAATGGCTTCCAATGCTATTTCTAAACTTAACTACTAAAGGTGCATCACCAAACTATACATCTCCAGATGCAACAACATAATTAATTAGTGTGAAACACTTTTGATATCTACAAAATAGTGACCATATATCATAGTAGTTATTTTATAAATAACTAATTTACTGTTAAAAAAGCGAACACATTTTTCAAATTTAAAAAAATTAATAAACTTTTTAAAACATGGACATACATCAATAAATAAATTTAGTGTTTCTGTTCTAATGAAAGCAATCTATATCAGTTGAAAGTGTTAAATTTTATTTAATTTCATTATAAAAATTTCATTTAAAATACCTACTAATACCTACTATATTTTATGCCTGCAAATGAGCTGTTTTCAACTTGAATGACATCTGAGCCATTAACCAGTTCCATGTTTACAGAATACGAATGCCATCCTGCAGTTAAGTTTTCAAACGGAACAGTCAGCATGCACCTGTCCTTGTAGACGTGTTTGTTGTATTCTATTGGTTCACTAATGTAGGACACAGTGCCCGGGGCATGCATCTCAACACCCTACAGAAATTTTTGTTTGACTTTAAATTTTAATCATAGCTTCGAGATCAATATTTAAAAAAAATAAATAAAAGCTGACCAAAGAGTTAAGATAGCAAATGTATTGTTTTATAGGAAATTGTATAGTTCTACTAAAATGCTTTTGAACTAATGTGATGTGTGGAATGACGAGGCTGGGTGGTAGAGCACTTGACTGCTAAACTTAAAGTCCTGTAATTGGAATGCAGACTCGATCATGTAGGATATCACCAAGTCTGACCAACCCTGATTAGTACCTGACTACAGAAAGTAACAGCGGAGGGACATTGTGCTGACCACCATATCCCATCATATACCAAGCTCACAGAAACTGGTGAACTCTTTATTGTTTGCTCAATGTGATCACTAGGTATAGAAGGGTAACTTCAAAGGAGCAATATATTAAAAAAGGGAACAGAGTATTACCCCCCCCCCTCCAGAAATTACCCCCTGGAGTGATTAGCCCCTGTCTATTACCCCCGTCCAGTAGGACATTACCCCCTGAAGTAGCTCAAGGTACAGCTAGGGTTAGGGTAGGGGTAGGGCTACGGCTAGGGTTATGGTTAGGATTAGGGCTATGGCTCGGGGGTAATGGACAGTAATGGATCGGGGGGGGGGGGGGAATGTCCTGTAGCCATTAAAAAACAATATTTTTAAAAAAAGGAAGAGAGGCAAAGAAGAAAATGAATGGAGAAGATGAAATTGGACAATTACTAAATTTTTTAAAAATCAGCTGAATATTCGGAAGTGTAGCAAAAATAATGGAAAAAGTCAGTTGGTGTCTCAATGACCCTTCGAGGGTTAAGTGATAGATAAAAGAGGAAATCTCAACTAATACAGTAACCTTTCACTCAAATATATCGACATACCTCTAGTGTGATATTAAAATCACAGCTGATATTTAAATAAACCATATCAGCGCTGCACGTAATTATCTCCTGCTTGTCATCATAAAAGAATGAATCGCAGTAAACTTTTTCTAGGGAAGCTGGATACAAAAGATACACATGAAAATATTTTTTAAAATAATGAATTTGTATGAAAACCCACAAAACCCCAGGTTCAGACATTAGCTCCCCAATTTTCATCAAACAATAAAACAAATAAGAAATTCAAGCCATGTTCAGCATATAATTCATGGTAAAAGTTCAAAGTTAAGTTAAATATTTGGTAAAGAAATAGTATCTGATAAAAGATACAATACAAATATGTTGCTTGTTCAAGGACCGTGCACCATTACATCCCAAATGTTTACTCTAAGCTACAAACATTGAATCTACCTCCTCAGCAGAGTTGCCATAACAACTGTGTTCTACTGACTAAGCATCCACTACAGGACAAATTACAGTTGATAAAACATAATGATTATTAATTAGAAAAAGAAATGGATCGATGAAAGATTTTTGTTTAAAAAAACACAAGGAAACAAACTTTCCATGAACAGTTTAAAAAAACAAGAATAAGTTGTGATGTGTCCACTCACAGTTTAGATTAATCTCAAAAGAAGGGCTGATGTCCACCTTTTCTCCCGCTGCTGTATCAAGGGTCATTCTGGCTAAAATCTGGTGCTGACCAGGGCCTAGATTCAAAAGTGGAATTTGGAGGCTACAGTTGTTCTGGAACAATCCATTCACAGGAGTTGAGTGGATGTCGGTAGCATCCACAATAACTGCCCGGTCCTACAAGATAATAAAAATTAATTACTTCAAAAGTTTCGTTCATCATGAGTTTTGTGCATTTTTTAGACTGCATAAAAAGCACAGGCAAAGGAAATACCAAACTGAATATACATACATACATATATATATATATATATATATATATATATATATATATATATATATATATATATATATATATATACATACATACACACATATACACTGACAACTTACAGAAGTGTTAATGTGAAATTTGCAATCCTTCATTTTGTCTACAGCTTCTGATGAACAATTTATAGAGGCTATTCTGTTGAATACAGTGGGTCGTGTGCAGTTGAGGGCCTTTAGTGCAGCTGAAATTTAAGTAAGAATGTTTTGTTTTTTAATGAACACCAAAAGTTAAATAAAACGGTACTCTTACCTACTTAAGGTTTTCGCATTTTCTAACCCAACCCCTCTCCTTTCATAATATAAGTCCTACACCCCCACCCCCCCCCCCCCCCTTCCACTTTTTTGTGGGGCAGTTTTTATAGAAAACACCTTTTCATTTGTTTAGCAGCTGTATTCTTATAATTCATTGAAATATATTAAATCTATGCAAGGCTAATAATAATGAAAAATTAGGGTCATCCTGTAAATAACAAGTTAGTAGACTCTAGATAGATGTAGATCTAGTTCTCTGTAAGATGCTAGTCATTATCTATAGTTAGTTACTTACCTGCCATGTTAATAAATAGGCACGCACATGTCAAAAATATTGTAATTGTGTATAGACTTGTCATTGTTGAACTTGTAAATCTTGAAATTTTAAAACATAAAGAATAAAGATTGGTCTCAATTTTAATATTTATAAAATCATTTAATCAAAGTATTGGATCTAGGTTACACCTAACAGTAGGCAATGCCTTAGCCTATCAAATTAATAATAAATAAAAAAGAAAAGAAGATAGAACTCACACAATAGATGAAGTGAAATGCTAAAAAGCCAGTGACAAATGTTTGATCAAATCAATTTTTTTTAGCTATTTATCTGAAATAAACCTGAAACCGACAACAGTTCATTTGTACTTGTGGGCCCAAAAATTATCTTGTTTCTTTATAAAGTAAGAGATAAGCTCCTTCATCATACAACATTGTGAAATCTAGTCCAAGGTTTAAATCCCTATGTTACTAGAGACTGGGGAGTAGGTGAGGAAGGGGTGGGTTTTTAACCTCTCCCATGGACTCACCTTTTCAAGAGAAATCCAATCCTTATTATTGAATGCGGGAGAGCTGTAAGGAGCTACTACAGGGTAATGTTGGAGGACACATACAATGATGCTTAAGAGAGGACAAAGGAATTCATTTTAATTAGTCATTTATTGAACTGGCAAAATGCGCATTTATTCTGTATATTTTGTAATTTTTCGCCATGGTGTCACCCCCGAAATTTTGCCCCGACCCCACCTAGTGACGCCTCTGGTTATGGGTACTACTTGAGTACAGTTTGGATAAGTTAAATAGAGATCAGAGACATGCATATTGTAACGATTTTATATATATATATATATATATATATATATATATATATATATATATATATATATATATATATATATATATATATATATATATATATATATATATATATATATATATATATATATATATATGCGAAAGGAATTAAAGTAACCGTGGTGTTGTGAAATTAAAATTGTTTAATGTGGTTCCATTGCGGCGGGGGGGGGGGGTTATAGCCCCCAGGCACACCTTGTACCTACGCCACTACATAATCATGTTCTTAAGATTATATTGCCCATTCTATGTATACATTTGATAAAAGTAGTTTTTAAGTAGTCTGCAATGTTATATTTGAAATAACATATTGAAAACGAAATGCGTCTTAAATTCGATTAAAAATGGGCTTTTATACTATGTATTTTTTGTATTTTGAAATCATATTATGTATTTCTTGCTGTATAGCCTAGATTCTATAATAAAATACTTATAAATTCTATAAATTCCACAATCCTATATCGTTTAGTAATCTCTGCCCTAATGTTTTCTATATTGAATAATCAATATTCTGTAATTCTAAATTGTGTATAAATTAATCATACAATCTCTAAAATTAACCATAACTGTGATCCCAATTAAACTCAGCAACCTACTGTATTCATTTATATTGTATAAAATAATTTAATTTTCGATTTTAACAGAAGATACATTTTATAATATTAATGATTATTAGCTCTATAAAATGAATTGTTGTTTAATTTTTCTTATATTAAAATTTTTAAGCGATTAATTGATCGAAATAGTTCTATTCCGTTAGCTCGTTTGTACATTTTATAACTATAATTAGAGTCTCAACGACAGAATCAAATGAGAAAAAATGTATAGCCTTATTCTATTCCGACATTGTCGATGAGCAACTTAACGACATTGTCTTTGAGAATAGTGTAGGATCGGCTGTCATTTAAAAATGTAATGCTAGGAGATTTTCAGCCGTTAATTATCGATTTAAAATCAGGTTTTGTAAACTGTATTAGAAACTGATTAATTTAGACATAGGCATTTTCTATGTTAAAACAGTAAATATTTTAGAAAGAAATTGATATTTAAAATAAATAAAAACTTCTGAAGGAGTTTGTTGACTGAGGTGTGACGTTATTTTAGGAGGGGGGGGGGTCTGGCTTTCTGTTGAGATGTAAAAATCTTTTTAAAAAGCGTTACGTCATGTATGGATGACCCTTGAACAGAACACGTTTCCAATTTATCTCAATAACAAAAAGATAATAAAGGCCTTTTAATTAAGCCTATGGGTTCAATTTGTTGTTTAATTGTTTATGTTTTATCTTGTTCAGTCAGGGTCAAATATAGCAGACACAATTTATTGATATTTTAACTTGTACTAACTTTAAACCCCACTTTTCACTATATTAAAAACCCAACATGTTATTTTCGGAAGAGTCTATTATCGGACATTGGTATTACGAATAGGCTGAATATAGATGAAAAATATCTACACTCGACCTAGGCCTCGATTTAGAAATACTAGTTAGTCCACTGATGTCAATGGGTTTTACAGTTTGCGCATTAGATCTAAATTTAGTAACAAAATGATAAGCGGTTGCCTAAAGACCTAGTTAAATCTCATTCTGTAAATATAAATCTATTTTAAGAAACCTGGGGCTAGACCGTTAGATGTATTACAAAAGCTGTACTGTTATAACAAAAAACACAGAAACATATCTTTTTTCGAGAAAATAACTTATTTCTTCTTATTAGTGGACAATTATTTTATTATAGATCTGTGATCTATCATATTTAAAGTACTTTTCCAGCGTGAACAGAGAACATGCTTGTTAGGAGTAATTTGTAATTGTCACGCTTTTTTAAAAAAGATTTTTGACTCCACTCCTCCTGTCAAAAAAAAAAAACATTACATTTTAAGATTTTTAAAACCGTGACGTCATTCTAATCTTTCTGAACGCCTCTTCCTCTCTCACATAAGTTGACCCTTCCTCCCTTTCTACCCCGTGTTCACAGGTGATTTAACGACGCCTAATACAGTTTTTTATCTGTAAACAATCATAATATTATATCTTTAATTTTGTATCGTCATTCTTTTAATTAAAAAATCGCCCAAAATATTTATAAACAAACATCACATGCTTATGATTCACACGACTACATTGCTTGGGAAAACCATGTATATTTATAACTGGTGACGTAAAGCGACAACACTGATTGGTTCATAGCTTCGGTGGTGTACGATAAAGCTCCCGTGTAAAACTCGCTCTGCTGGCGTAGTTTCGCATTTTAGAGAACGTTAAATAATTGTAATATAATATATTAGATTAATTGTAATAAATATTAAGATTAACCGGAGTAGTTTTAGAGTAGCATAATTTAGAATTAATATTTTAAAATACATTTCTGTTTGAAAAACAGTTTGGGGAGGGGAATGGGTAGGCTGAAATGAAATGTGTTTTTTTTAAGAGGGGAAGGGTTCCGATTTCAATTGATGATGACGGGATGAGATGGTGGGTGGGGGGGGGGGGGGAGAGAGAAATGTAAATTCAACACAATGTACTGGTTGAGGTTGATTATGTTTATGGACAACATATAGGCTAAATATGAGACAACGTTAAAAATATAAAATGAGAAAATGGCTAGCTCTAGAGTCTAAAAATTTGGTATCTTAGACAGATAATACAACAGACGAGGAAGCCATTTTTTTTGTACCTTGTTTTATTCTGAATCGGAAACGGAACATTACATGCAAGGGACATCACTCAAACATTATAAGAGTAATACAAGAAGAGTGAGTTCCCCTCAATATAAAGCTCAATATATTACATAATTAAATTCAGTGGCGTTACTAGGTCGTCTGGCTTCTTCTTTGGTTATTTGGTTATTGCTGGTCAGTGTTTCTTTTAGGGTGTAAGGGCTGGGGAGAGAGCCTAAAACTTTCAACGGGTATGGGGAGGTAGAACCGACTTAAATTAATTCCCAGTGTGTGTGTATGGGGGGGGGAGGAAATGAGAGGGGCTGAGGGTGTGGGGGGACACTAGTACAAATATTTTATATACTTGATATATATATGTATATATATATATATATATATATATATATATATATATATATATATATATATATATATATATATATATATATATATATATATTTCTATTTCGTCCAGGGAGGGGGTAGATTTGCTTCCTGGGAGAAGTTTTGTCACTCGACGTTGGAGATAACTCCGATCAATATGCACTCACGCGTTTCACACCCGTCAATTGACCGCTACAGATCTTCACATTGTCTCCAGTCTAACGATCATGTCATGCGCCGCTTTAGCTAACGTCCGGCAATCGATACTGCCTCTGCGTATCACACCTGACAATTGACCACCACATGTCCCCACGTTGACTCTCGTCTTACAATCAGGCTTAGGCGACAATGTCTCCCAAAGGTCAACGTAATCGTGTCTGCCGTCCACCTACACGTCATGAGTAATAATTCTACCGTGACTTCCAGCGCATAGTGGGTCGAGTCGGTAAAGCTCATGGTTGCTAAACCGAAAGATCTCGAGTTCGAACCCTCGGGCAGATGAGGCTTGTTATTTGTGGACAGCCACTCTTCTAGGAGAGACAACTCTAAAATTAAACAACTGCTGCTTGTAGTTTGTTCTTGGTTGGACAAAGGCTATGGAAGCAAATCCAAAAAGAAAAGCAGGCTGAAATGGGAGTCAATGGCCTCAATGGCGCATAACCAGTTGACACGTATCCTTAATTGTGATGGGGGGGGGGTGGTCGAGTCGGCAAGAAGCTCATGGTTGATGCATTCGAAAAAGTCTCGTGATCAAACCCTCTGGCAGATATGGCTCGCTCCATTCCATCACTAAATATTAAGAACGAAGTAGTCCAGTGCATGTCCAAACTCAACTTAAGACATAACTCACCGCAGAGTTTCTTCCAGGTATAACTTTGGGAGGTGGGGGGGGGGGGGTTGATGGGTTCGGTATAGGCTAAAGTAAAAATAGTAGAGCAATAATGTGAGGTCATAATGATGCTCATGACTTTGTAAAATATTTTAAAAGCTGTCATACTATTGGTGGCCAATTTTACACTAAATGTGATTGTGATATAGGCCTATATTGCAAATGTGATGCTACTTAACACAAAATGTGAAACATTTAACCCACCACCAATACAACACACTCCAATGAAAAAGAGGAGGTGGGTGGTACGAATATTGTTGTTAAGTTTCTAATTTGGTGGACATAAGGAAAACTTTCATAGAAAATTTCAATTGTATTGCACTACTATAGATTATATACGTTTTAATTAAAACAACACAACACTTTGTAGTTTAGAAAATATTTTAATGCTTATGGTAATTAAAAAAATAAAATATCGTAATAGTATTTTAATTGAGAATGATTGACTTTCTAGACATGTTTTTTTACACAACTAGTCAGGTAGGCCTGTATGGTGTCAGCTTTCTGACTTGACAGCTTTACTATATCCAACTAGTTAGGTACACAGTAATAAAAGCAATTTATGACTCAAATTGTTGATATGAAGGTCAATAAACCAGTTTAATTCAAATATTTATTTTGTTAAAATATATTTAAAATCAATACTTTGAACATTTCTTACTGGCTAATTTTTGTATAATATTGGAATTTTTTGTTCTGCCACTTTGTTTTTTGCAATCAAATTATATAAATAAATAAAAATGTAAATATTATGTTTGTCAAAAAAAAAATTGTTTGACAGACAAATTTCCTTCGTCATGTTTAAAGACAAATATTTGCAAATCAGATACCCTTTTATAATCACATCATTTGTATCGAAATGTATGCGTTTAATTGTTAAAGCTTGAAAGTAGAAAGTATAAACGGAATATTACTGACAACATAAAATAAATTAATAGAAAAAAGCCAGTTTTATTATGCGACTAGATAAATGTAAAACCAATTTAAAATCAATACAAATTTAAAGATGTTTAAATGTAATTTTAGTGAAAACAAATAATATTTTCTTGGCCTGTCAATTTCTATTGATATTGACATTAATTAACAGTTTTAACATTATTTTTAGACTGGTTATTATTGTTGTGTTAGCTTGCATTAATTAAAAACTAAAAGATAAGTTTTAGAATAGATATTATTTTTGTATTAGCAAGCTATTAACAACTTAAACATTAAATATATATTTGACAGTATCTGTTGAACCAAAATAAGGATGACTAGAACCACTTTGATGAATAGTTTTGAAAAATAAAACTTAATAGTAAGGATAGTCTGGCTCTATAATTTTACTAACAAACAAGGATTTACAGCAGTTTAAAAATTACAAACAATATAAATTAATACAGGTAAACCATTTTGCAATTATAATTAAAAAAGTATTAAGTAACTTTAGTATATTGAATAAAAACACAAAAATAAAGGTACATTTTCTTTAAAGGAATAAGCCCTTCTTAAGGCCCTTCTAAAAAATAAATGTGTTTTGTCATTCATAATCTTTTTTTATAAAATAATCATATATTTTAAACATTTGTAATTAAAAGTTAACAGAAAGTAAACCTCCAAACATTCTAAAAAATGCTTGCAAAAAGACATTCTAGCTTTATTATTACAGTTTCTAGAGTAAAATAATAAAAAAAAAATGTATTAAGCTTAAAAAATGGAATAATAAAATGAATGGGAAGACATGTTACAAACCACAAAGCAAGGTCTGATTCATTGGGCTATTACAGCCTGCAAATCGGGATGGACTGGGCATGCCTCGAGAAGAGGCCAACATAGTGAAGCCATCATAGTGAGGCCAACATAGAGAGGCCGCAATAGTGAGGCCAACATAGAGAGGCCAACATATTGTGGCCAACATAGTGAGGCCAACATAGAGAGGCCAACATAGTGAGGCCAACATAGAGAGGCCACAATAGTGAGGCCATCATAGAGAGGCCAACATAGAGAGGCCACAATAGTGAGGCCAACATAGTGAGGCCATCATACTGAGGCCACAATAGTGAGGCCAACATAGTGAGGCCATCATACTGAGGCCACAATAGTGAGGCCTACATAGTGAGGCCATCATAGTTAGGCCAACATAGTGAGGCCAACATAGTGAGGCTAACATACTGAGGCCAACATAGTTAGGCTAACATAGTGAGGCAAGTCAAGGGCTGGAAAAGAAAAGTTGGCTATCCACAGCAATACTGGTAAAGGAAATTGGAGTGAAGAAAACAATTAGGGTAGCAGAACTTATGTTGACTCGAGAAAAGAGAGCTGCTCATAGACGAATTGGGTAGAGAGGTTAGCTCCCTTTTCTCTCTAACAGCTTTAAAGGTCTAAGTAATTTAAATATTTATTTTTAGCTTCTAAAAAAACACCAAACATACAAATAAACAAAACAAAGACAGTTGGTGAAAAGGGTTAGAGCTGTTGTTCACAGATAGATTTTGGGACTGAAAAGTCATATATATATATATATATATATATATATATATATATATATATATATATATATATATATATATATATATATACATTAAAAAGAAGCTAGAAGCAGTGGATGCTATTTATTAATATTCATAGTATATCTAGTTCAAATGCCTGAGCTGTTGAGGCAACCCATCTTGGTGAAACAACTGCTGCCTTGTTGTTTGTTCGTGGAAAGAAAAAGGCTATGGAAACATATCCAGATAGAAAAGCAGGCTTAAATCAGAGTCGATGGGCCATATGACACATAACACATCGACATGTAATAGGTCTACTTAATATATGTTGGAGGAAATCAAGTCTAATATTTTACTTAAGACTGAAAATTAATAACAATTTTACTTTCTGTATAAAAAAGTAATTAAAGGAAAAGTATTGACACAAGTTGATCTGAAGTCTACTATGAAGCCTTTAAAACTTGTCCCATAACTGACTCTTGATTTTAACTGTGTAATATTTTAAAATACTGATCCATATTAAAAGACATTTGATAAAACACAGATTCACTTAAATTAATTCAACCACATTACATCAGCGCTACACAGAACTTTCAATAATTATTAACTTTTAATTTTAAATGACATCATTTGAAGATTTAACCATTAAAAAAATTGTTAAAATATTATTTAAAAAGATTTTTTGGTAACAAAATTATTAACAGCTAGCTTGAAACAGGTGACTTGAATTACATGAAGTACACCAGTCGTGGGCTGCGTTGAAAGAAATACGGCAATGACACAACTATGTTGATAACTAATGTTACTTGTTACAAGTTACTTGATAACTACATCTAATACAGGGAGAACAAATCCAGTATCCATTAATCCAGAAGTAAATTTTCTGTTGAAAAAAAGATATTGTGATCGAAATATCTAGAGCATTTTTAAAGTAGAATGACTTGTATGTAAAAATGAATTAAACTTTCTATACTAATACTAAGACTTTAAATTAGAAAAAAACTAAGGTCATTAAAAAATATCTCTTACCAAAAATGATGAAAGTAAATTTCAAGCAAACTTCCACATTAGAGCCCACATGAACATTGCCAAGACACCGTAAGAAGACATCAGCTTGTTGGAGGAACCTACAAGAGGAATTAAAAATTAAAAAAATTAAAAATATCATGAGAGTACAATATGTCAATGTTCAAATTGAATGCATGTTATTATACAATATAGGTTTATCAAGTTAAACATTGATTTTCAACAATAATGATTTCTTCCTCTTGTAATTTTTACATGTTTTTATCTGCAGAAGTCATTACGAAAAAACTATTTATGTTATTCTGTATTAAAGTAAAAGTAAAGATTCCTGTTTAGACTTATGATAGCGATAGCTTGGACAGATGAAATAGATTTCTTATGTTTCTTGACCTCTACATGTGAAGGGAAAGAACAATGCCCAGCCGCCTTTACTTTCCTTAACGAGAGTTAGATACCCATTATAGATGGGCAGATTCAGGGATGTACCATTGACTTGAACCTGGATTCAAACTCAAGACTTTCAGATTAGCAGTTTAGTGCTCTACAGCTAGGCCTACATTTATAAATTAATAGTCAAATATGTTCAAAATTTGAGGAATATCAGAAAAAGAAATTTTGAAAAAACTGCTACTTCCTATATATGTAGGAAATTGGTATGCATAATCAATCATGTTAAAAGTCTACACTAGAAACTAGTTATGATATTTGTAAAAGTGCAAAAATGATTAGGTTTATTTTATGGTACCTACATCTTTATCTTTTCATCTGTTGGGACTTGCTCACACAGTACATAATGATGCATTTTTGCTTTTAGTTTTTCATTAAAACAAAATAAAATAAAAACTAACCTTTGACAATATTGAAATTGTAGCTGAGGTCTTCACCAACTCCATTTCCAACAACAAGTTTGTACCAGCCTAAGTGTTTGTCTTCAGCTTTGTTGAACACAACACTGACATTCCCAATGGGGCCAGTAGTGTTGCTGTATACCACAGTAAAGTCTGTCATGTTGACATCACTTTGTTTTTCCAGCTTTAGCTTGGTGGGTGCTGGGTAGCCAATCAGTTGGATGTTGACCACAGCCCTAGTGCCCAATAGCACACTGTACTTGGCAGGTGTATTTTGGTCATAGATCTCTTGGGGACCTGGAAATAAAATTACATTTTAGCCAAATAAACAGGTAATATAGTTGATTGAAATGTAAAGATGGCCAAAAGACTGTTAATTCGTAAATATTGCTTGGAATGGACCCAAACAAATTTTTTTTACCAGTATTTTCTTCAAGCCTAGTCAGACAAACTATGACTGGCTGTAACAGAAATTAAGAGTTTCTGAAAACCCCTCTTTGTGGTAATTTGTATTCAATGCTTTGCAGATAAAATAGTTTTACAATTTTTTAAACCGCACAGCAATGTATATTTACATTTAAAAAATTGTAATAAACAACAATATTTTTTTTTATTCTTTAAAATTTTGGTTGAGGTACCAAAAGTATTAAAATAAAACTCATTTGTTTTAATAATACTGCACTCTATATATAATATATTTAACGGGATATTTGAAACTATTCCCACTGTGGTCCATTATACTGGCGATACAGCAATATAATCTATATTTTTTTTTAGATAAATCATTGAATTTTTTTTTTAAATTTAATATTAATATACAACACATAAACATTTATAAACATATTTTATCTTGGATTTAGTTTAGGTATAAATTTAATATAACAAAATATAATAAAATTGATAAACTGCATTTGTTTTAATAATACTGCACCCTATATATAATATATTTAATGGGACATTTGAAACTATTCCCACTGGGGTCCGGCAATACAGCAATATAATCTATATTTTTATTGATTAATTATTTTAAATTTTTTTTATAACTTTAATATTAATATACAACACATAAACATTTATAAACATATTTTATCTTGGATTTAGTTTAGGTATAAATTTAATACAACAAAATATAATAAAATTGATAAACTGCATCCTTACCTCAATGTGTTTTAATACTAGCAGAATTGCTTTAGCATTTTTACTTTTTTGTTACCCCTGTTCTTCCCATACAATCAAGTAAGCTGGATAGCTTTAGATTATTATATTAGGACAAAACCTTACAGGAAAATAAATAAACTTATAAGGACAAAACAAAAACTCACAGCGCATGTACACGTTGATGTATTTGGTGTCAGCCACTGGGAAGCCTTGGCTACTAGCTTGACATGAATATTGTCCAGCTTTTTCACAGTCTGTCATTTTTACGAATGTAATTAGTCTGTCATATAGGTTGTAATTATGCTGTTTTCCATTTTGTACCAATGCTACTTTGGATATGGGATCTCCTTTAGCAGAGCAGTTAAATACAAGCGTTGAGTTCAGGTCTACCACAATATCTGTGTTTGTGCCATTTACAGTGAAGGATGTTATTTTTGGTGCCGCTGAGGAGTTAATAAATATTTATAGTTATATAGCTGGCATTGAAAGATGATTTTATTTTTAAAAGCACTATACTGTAAATATTTTAAACTAGAATTTACAGGTGATATTTTTTTCCACTATGAAGATAATAAATATTTACACTTGTCATTTAAAAGATGATAGTGGTAATGTTTTTTAATGGATGATATTGTTGGCAACAAGTTGGAGATATAGGATTTTTATAATATTTTAAATTGTTAGTAATGTCATGCTCTATATTATAATTATTTTTCAAAAACGCAACGTATTACCTAAAAAAATCATTGTGTTATAATAATATAAAACTAATTTTATTATAATCAATATTATACATTAGTAGCAAATACTACATCATTTTTTAACGGTTTTTCATCCTGTGTAGTAACAACAAGTAAAACATTTTAACAAGTAAAACAAAACATACTCGCCAAATTAGGGGAATATGATAAAAACGTTCTTGTTCCACCCAAAAGAGTCACCGGTGCACAGAAAAATATTTTATATTTGTCTGTAGAGAGAAAATTTCAATGTTCCATGATCTGTCAAAATATAAATAATCCTTTTTTTAAAACTATATAAGGCATAAATGAATCCTTATTGAGTTTTCTATAAATTGTAATTAGAATACAATTTTTCTAAAAACACATAACTTGGAATGATTGATTGAAATCTGCATCTTACAACTTACTTTTATTAATGCAGAAAAGTGTATTGATGCAATTTAAATCTTGTTTTTGCTTATTTTCTAAACACTGTAGGTTTAACAATAAATAATAACATCAAAAGAATACACACGTTTGATTATTGATGTGTAGATTGAATTCAGTAAAAGTGTTTGCTTATAAGAATAGTTTGTATTAGTTACTATGTGATCATGGCTTCTTACAACTACAATATGATATACGATAGCAATGCATCTATTCAGCATATAAATCAGATTTATAAGCTTTTAAATTTGCAAAGTTCACCTTACCAACATCTTCATATGAAACGTTCAGCATTGTATTCTGAGTTCCGGTAACAGGTTTTGTCAAATTTGTGATGACTTCCACCAGTCCATTAAAGTACCAGCCAGCATAGCCTTCAGTGCCTGGGTTGGTCATGTTGCATGTGCAGGTCCTAGTTTCTCCAGGATACATGGGCTTAGAATCCTGGGATTTGCATGTAGGGCTCAAGTCTACAGACGGCAACGCTGGAGGAGATAGACTAAATGAGTAAATTTCATGTTGTATACAGGTTTTTCTTTTGCAGTAAATACATTAAAACATACTTTTAACGAAATGAACATCGTTGTCGAATATTATAGCATTCAATCCTAATTCAAAAGTCCCGAGTTCAAATCTCAGCCTTCTGTCAGTGACATCACTGCGTCCACCCATTACTGGTGGTTTCTTCACTCAACTATGTAAGAATAAAGGCAGCTGGGCCAATTACTAATCATAAGATCCCTTCGCATGCTTATGGCATGGAAACTGATGAACTGTACTTCATCAAACCCTTTGTCAGTAAGTCGAAAAAGGTACTTTTTATCCACTTAACTTGGCATAAGTTTTGGCATAGCCTAAGAGTCGAGTGTTAGTATGCTAATCCAAAAGTCTAGAGTTCGAATCCGTGTTTAAGTCAGTAGAGTGTATCGACTGTGCATTGTGCTGACTACACAATCCCTTTATTTCATTTTTTCAATCCCTTTATCACATTCTAAAATATCGGTAGGGTGGACAAAACTTTCGATTTGCACCCCCCTCAAACTTTTGATTTGCACCCCCCCCCTCAAATTTTCGATTTGCACCCCCCTCTCAAATTACGATTTGCACCCCCCTCAAACTTTCGATTTCCATCCCCTTCAACCTTTCAATAATGTTTATGAAAAAAATTCTGTCTCTATCGAGACAGTGAGAGGCGGGCACATACGAATCGTTCGGCGGTTGCCATGGCGCCCGCGGGCACGGGGTTGGGAACCCCTGATCTAAATCAACTGCTGTGTGATATTCAAGATATTATTTAGATACTATAGTTATTTAAATTTTATATTAAAAAATATTTAATAAAATATTACTCAAGTAACCGCTCATTTGTGTGAGAGATACTGATTATATGCATGGTTATTATGTGCATAAAAATATTCATCAATAGCTAGTGCTGTTCTTCTTTAACATGCCAGTAGTAGTCTTTATCTGCTGCAACTCACCTATCTCTGTCGCAAATATAATCCCAATCTACTTGAATCAAATCTATTCAACACTAACAATAATCCAAGACTTAAAAACTGCACTACTTAAACCTCGAGCCTTGACTTACTCTGATTATTGACTTAACCCCACTACTAACACGATCTACTGTCCGTCTTTCTTTTTTTCTCCTGACCAGTGACTGGTCATTTTACTTCTTACATTGGTCGTTCTAAAAGTCTTTCTATTGATTCCTACCTGCTGACCAATGGCTTCCTATAATAATTTTTAACTCTTATCCTTGACCTGTTTCTAATTGCTGCCCTCTTATGCGTCACCAAAATGTACAAATTGAAACTACACCAACACAATAAATTAGTGTGGAGTATTTTGATATCTGAAACTAAAACAAAATTTCTATATGTCATGGTACTTATTTTGAAATTAACTAAATACTTACTATATTTTACACTTAAAAATGATGAGCTGTTTTTAACCTGAATGACATCTGAGCCATTTATGAGTTCCATGTTTACAGAATACGAATGCCATCCTGCAGTTAAGTTTTTAAATGAAACAGTCAGGATGCACTTGTCCATGTAGATGGGTGTGCTGGATTGTACTGCTTCACTGATGTAGGACACACTACCTGCGGCATGCATCTCAACACCCTACAGAGATTTTTTTTGGCATGAAATTTTTAAACAAAAGCTTTGGGCGCAATATTTAAAAAATAATAAAGCCGAGACCCTTAGTTAAGATAGTAGATGTATTGTTTTATTGAAAATTGTGTAATTCTACTCAGATTCTTTAGAGGTAGATTAAAACATAGGTGAATTTTGGGATGACGAGGGTGGGTGGTAGGGACTAGACTGCTAACTTAAAACTCTCACATTGGGAATACAGACTCGAATCTATAGGATATCACCAGGTCCGCTCAGCTCTGATGGGTACCTATATCATGCTATAGAAAGAAATCGTGGAGGGGCATTGTGCCATTGTGCTGACCACCATATCCCATCATACACCATGGTAACAGAAACTGGTGAACTCCACATTGTTTGCTCACTTTGATCACTAGGTTTGGAGGGGCAACCAGAGGCGTAGCGACCCTTACCGGCACCACCCCCCTCGAACTTTTTATTTGCACCCCCCCCTCGAACTTTTCATTTCCACCCCCCCCCCCCTCAAACTTTCGATTTGCACCCCCCTCGAACTTTTCATTTGCACCCCCCTCCTCAAACTTTCCATTTGGCGCCCCCCCCCCTAAGATCGGCGCCCGGGGACATATGTCCCTCCCCCCCCTCGCTACGCCTCTGGGGGAAACTTCAAAGGAGCAATATCTAAAAAAAAAAACATCAACTACAAAAATAAAAAATAAAATGAGGCAAAAAAAAAAAAAGAAAAAAAAGGAGAATGTGAAGAAATGAACTAGAGAAATTTTAGTAGGAGAAATACTAAAATTAAAAAAAAATCAGCAGAGGATGGGTTTTATGATGTGCACTTTAATAGGGTAATTTGGAGTCAATGAATGTTGGTGCAATAGTTATGATGAATGCATGTAATGAAAGATAGTGTGGTAGAAAATGGTTGCTGTGGAATGCAAGGGAGTGTTTACTTCCGGAATTGATGTCAACTTTCTTTCATAGTTTTTAGTGTTTTTATTCACTATTTAATCCAAATAAATCTAAGGGAAGTACTACTCATCCATTAGGGTTGAGAATGTAGTTTAATACTAATTTACTAGCCGGTTCTTATTGTGATATTTTAAGTTTTTATATTATTGTCTCATCCATTGTTAAAATGTAAACCGGATATCTATATTCTTAGTTGTTGTAGATCTACTGATGATTCGTTTTCTTTTTCATCTATTTCTACTGATGTCAGCATGATATTTTAATTTTTACTGGTGAGTGAAAATGTTAGGGACTGGCGTTGTCACCAGAGGCAGCAGAGCTAAGAAGTATCGTTTAAATAAAGAAAAAGCGATATCAAAAAAGATTGCTAACATTTGTGCAGCGGATGATATTCATTTTCAAAAGAAAGATGGAGGACAATGCGTTATCATTGCATTTAGAAACTCAATTAGCTATGAAAAAGTAAAAAGAATATTCAAAACTAAATATGCTGGTGTTGTTGAGGAAAGAAGGGATGATGATGGCGCCAATGTTGAAGATATTTATAAATTACCAGGGCTGTCTGTCCATCTGTACCACACGAATAACAAAATTATGGTACAGGGAAAATCTAACGTTGTGTCTGTTTGGGTGGATTCGGAATTTTGCTGTATTCTAAATAACCTAATTACAACAGACAAAGCTGTCGACATGCCTCTACCCATGTCGCCGCCACTATCACTGTCACCACCACCTTCACTGTCCCCACCCAGAGTATTGGAGCTACCCATTTCACAGCCCATGATTATGTCTGCTTCCAACAGTGACAATCAATGTGCAGAGGATACGATCAATACCAATCCGTTAGATTGTGTAACACCTATAAATAACTATACATTTTCATCAAACCTATCTCAACCAACTGATTTGCTTAGTCCAAAAATATCATTTCTTCAAACCAAACAACTGGATAATAACTTAAGATCGTTTATTCTTAACGAGATCACCTGTGTTAAAAAAGCTTTTAAAGCGGAGAAATTGCTGTTTAACAGCCAACTAGAACAACTCCGAGTCGAAAACGCAGTCTTAAGGGATGAAGTCAAGAGACTATCTAATGAAGTGCATAGCTGCAAAGATATACACGTTAACCTTAAGAAGCGTTTGATTGATCAAGAAAATATTTCTGCGTCACTAAAGAAACTCCTCACAACCAAGAATCCCTCTTGCAGCACAATATCCACCTCAACATGTGAGGATAATCAACAACAACTAATAAATGATACAAAAATCACATCGGCAGGCATCATGCAAGAAGCTCCGTTCCCAATCCCTGTTAAAATTACACAACGTGATGACAGAGCGCGAATCAAACCATCGGAACATTCGAGTCCCAGCACCCTGCAACGACCACGAACTAAAAGCAATTCTACACAATACAGCGTCCCAACGGTCAAGGCTGTTCATGTCCCTGTTGTCCAACGCTCTACTCACTATGCCACTAATAGAGATAGCACACATCATGTCGCCGCCCCCTACACCAACCAAACAACGAAACACCATCTGATCCTTGGTGACTCTACACTTAAAGGTCTCCATCCTGATATAATGGCCACGGATCATTACGAGCGTGTATCGGTAATAGCGCTGCCTGGGGCAAATTTTGAAAAAATTAGGGACGTTATTAGTAGCCGATCACGTGACTCTAATACCACAACTGTAACCTTACATTGTGGTGTCAACGACAGTCTATCAAACGTCAGGCTGTCACAAGCTAATATGCTAGAAATTGTGAGAAGTATCACTCACAAATTTCCCAACGCAACAATCCGATTTTCATCCATCGTACCCCCATGTCGGGGCAAGGGTAGGCAGTTGATAGATATAAATAATAGATTTTTACAGTCTTTCTGCATTAGTTATAAATACTGTTTTATAAACAATACACCTTTTTTCACTGCGAAGTCAGGTGCCCCGAGACAACGCTTGTACAGTGACAGTATTCATTTGACTAAAATTGGAAGCAGCATTCTCGCTAAAAATATAAAGTATCCCCAAAGAGCCGTCAGCTTAACAGATAAAGACCATGTGCAACTTTCAAACGTAAAAGGTACAACGTCTGATTTGGTTTCGACTGTTGATTTGCTTCCAACAATATCTTCAGATCAATTGAACTCTAGCCCAGGCTTACATCACTTAATGGGCTTTAGCCCTTTGTTGCTTCATCAAGCTCTAATGTTGTCGCTTAAGCGCCTTCCTGGAACCTAACTTTTTTTCACTTACTATTTACTAGTTTAGCTCACTGTACTATTTTAATTATAGTGAAGGCAGTGTGAAGAGCAGCGAGTGTTTGTTTATTGGATGACAAAGCGTGTAATTGTAAGACAATTATATTGATTCTGTTTAATTAGTTCATTATATTGATTTTTGTTTATAACATCTCTTATTCATTGATATTTTATTATCTTTTATGCATTGTCTATTTTCATCATCCTGGCCCTCACAAAGTGGGCTAAAATTGGGCCATTTAAATATTTTCCACATATTTAATAAACACCATGAAGTTCTAAAAATTTTAAACAATTCCAACAATCCTTTCCATATCTTTGGTTTCTCTGAAACTCGATTACAATCTTTTATAAATGATGTTGAGATATCCGTCTCTGATTATAACCTAATACGCCGAGACCCATCCTTACACAAAGAAACTGGCCTTTGTGTCTATGTCCACTCCTCAATTCGTTTCAAGTACAGGATGGATCTGTCAACGGACAATATAGAATGTATTTGGATTGAACTCGAAAAAAGCAAAAACCATCCGGCAATTTTAATTTGCTTCCTTTATAGAAATCCCTGTGAAAACATGGATTGGTATGATCGTTTTTGCTCCATGATGGATACCGTTTTATCTACTAACAATGAATATATCATATTGGGAGATTTTAATATAAATTTATTAAAACCTCAAGGATATTGGCAAGATATTATTGATTCTTTGAATCTTAAGCAATTTGTGCACACGGCTACCAGGGTAAATGATAAATCAAGTACAATAATTGACCACATATACGCATCACCTGACTGCAACCTAATAGAGGTATGTGTCCCCTCTTGTGGTGTTAGTGACCACTTCCCTGTTTGTTGTACTTTTTCGACAAAAAGATTATGTGTACCTTCGCGGCAACACATAACTATAAGTTATCGCTCTTTTAGAAAATTTAATGAAAATCTTTTTCTTTCGGATTTATTGGCTGCCCCCTTCTGCAATGTATACAATTATAACTGTCCCGATCTTGCCATTTCTGAATGGCTGCGTATTTTCTATACTATATATGACAAACATATTCCTAAAATCTCTAAAAGAGTTAAGACTACATACAAACCTTCTTGGTTTAACAACAATATCGAATCTGCAATTAATAAAAGAGACTGGCTTAAACGTTATGGAACTTCTGAGGACTTTTGTAGGCAGCGAAATTATGTCAAACTGCTCGTGCGTAGGTCGAAGAAGGAATATTTTAATAAGCTGCTGTCAGGCAAACCTAATTCCAAATCTATCTGGACTGCTATAAATCAAATAATTAGAAAAAAACGCACATGTAATACAGCTGGACATTGCCAGATATCTGCTGATGACTTTAACAATCATTTTATATCATCTGTAGCGCTCAACACAGATGCTGATTACACAATCAGTGAGGAGCTTAAAAATTTTTGTAATTCTGCTCACCGTGGTAGGACAGAGCTGATCATTCCGCTTCTCACTGTTCATGAAGTTTATGTTAGCCTAAGATCTCTTAAACCGTCTTCAACAACTTCGTTTGATGATATTTCTAATAATGTATTGAAGATTTCAGCTCCAATAATTTCCGAAGTTTTAACCTATGTCTATAACCTCTGTATTGCCAAGCATTATTACCCGACACATTTTAAGCATGCTAAGGTTATACCACTACACAAAAAAGGTAACATCCAAGATGCTAATAACTACAGGCCAATTTCTATACTTTCTTCCCTCTCCAAGCCACTAGAAATACATATAAACAAATGCATTTCATATTACCTAGAAAAGTTCAAGCTTTTCCATAGTAATCAGTCTGGGTTTAGAAAGTTTCATTCTTGTCACACTGCTCTGATTAAGATGAATGAAAACTAGCTTATAAATATTAACAAAAACCTACTATGTGGCTCGCTGTTTGTCGATTTCAGAAAAGCCTTTGATTCTATTGATCACACCATACTTCTTAAAAAACTAATTCCATACAAATTCCACGACTTTACAGTTAGGTTACTTCACTCCTTTTTATCTAACCGATCTCAACGCGTGTTTCACCTTAATACCATCTCTTCACAGAAATATGTTAATATAGGGGTTCCACAGGGCTCAATCTTAGGTCCTTTACTTTTTTCTTTATACATTAATGATCTTCCATTACATATTGACGCTGGTCAGTGCGAGATGTTCGCTGATGATACTTCTTTGCATGTCTTTGCAGACAGTGCTGAGTCACTCAGTTACAAACTTCAAACATGTGCCAATCAGCTTGCAACTTGGACAAAATTTAACAAAATGAAACTTCACCCCGATAAAACCAAGTCAATGTTTATTACAACTCATCAGAAACGCCTTCGTCTTCCATCCACCGCATTAAACATTACTATAGACAATTCAAACATTGAACAGGTAGACAGTTACAAATGCCTAGGATTGTTTATAGATCACAACCTCACTTGGTCTGACCATATCCATTTTCTAAGAATGTCCTTATTAAAGACAACCTTTCAGTTAGCAAGGATAAAGAACTTTCTCAACTATAGGAGCAGGCTGGTTTTTTATGAGGCTTTTATTCAATCCAGGTTGGATTATGCTTCTGTAGTGTGGAGCGGCAGCTTTATATCTAAGCAGCGTCCTCTTCTTTCTTTACAAAAAAGGGCTATAAAACTGGTTACTGGCTTATCTAGTAGTATGGATTCTTTTCTTACAACTAAAATACTTCCATTAAATAAAAAGATAATATATACTAAATCAATTTTCTTATATAAAATATTCCACGAAACAGCCCCCTCTTACTTATCAGATCTATTTTCTTTTAACATAAAATTAAATCGTCGTCTCAATTTACCATTCCCTTATTCAACCTTTTTCCAAAAACATAGCTTCGCCTACTCTGGTTCTAATTTGTGGAACAATCTTCCTAATAAAATAAAGCTATCTAGATCTGAAAATATATTCAAATCTAAATTAAAACTAAAATTATTTAATGACCTAACTGACTCATTGTAACAATTCTCATTCATCTATTATATTCTCTTTTTTATCTCATTATGTATGATAGCTATGTACCATTGTTTCTTTATTCCACATTTTCAGTGCTATGTGTTACTGCTATGTGTTATTGAATTGCTTTATTTGTTTAAACGGCCAATGTGAAAAAAGGCCTTTGTGCCTACAATTGTAACCGTTGTTTGAATAAATTTGAATAAATTTGAATAAATTTGAATAAATTTGAATAATGTTAGCAATAGTTATATTTGTATCCTGAATTAATGAAACCAGTAGTTGAATAAAAACCTCTAAAGTGGAGAATACTAAGTGATTGTCAAGTCATTATTATTTGTACTGATGTAAAGTGAAATGACTGCGTCTGGTAGTGAGAAACTCATACGAGCTTGATGCTGGAGCTCGAAGTCAAGCCTCTAATACAGCCTTTACAATGAAGAAGTGAAGCAATACATTATACATTGGTGCCCCAATAACTCTTCCAGGATTAAGTATTAGATAAATGAGGAAACTTCAACTAATAAGTAACCAAAAATTACCGGAAATATATCGACATACCTCCAGTGTGATATTAAAATCACAGTTGATATCTAGATACACCATTTCAGCGCCGCACGTAAGTATCTCAACTCTATCTCTCCCAAGTATACCGACTTTGTCCATGTTCGATAACGAAGAGCAATAAACGTTTTCTAGTAAAGCTGAATAGAAAAAGAAAATCATGAAATTTTTTCTTTTTCTATTCTTATTCTAATACTGGGTTTGTAAGAACAATCCACAAATAACCAGGTTGAAGCATTAAATTCCTAATTTTCCTTAAATAGTAGCAACAGTTTGATAAAAAAAATCAGAGCAAATTGGAAATTTGACCCATGTTTAGCAAATAATTCATGGTAAAAATTCAGAGTTATCTTTATCTATCAAAATGCTTCGAGTCGGAGCAAAGAAAAGATAGGCTAATGTTCGTTGAACAAGTCGGGTGGTATACACAGGAAGTGCTGTTATATCTATGTGTTAATCAGTGATCAGATCAATGACAGAAACAGAGATAGCCATTCGCATGGTGTGGTATCTTTCTTTCTCTCTCTCTCTCTCTCTCTCTCTCTCTCTTCCTCCCAGAGTTCCAGAGCAGCTATCTTAGAACTTGCTATCATTTGATAGGGCGTCCTGAATAGCGGGTAAGGGATACTTCTTTATTCATCGTTAAATCGTCAACAGATGCAGCCGCCGGCGCCCCAGCTGTTGCATGACCTGATGCGCCCCGGCCTCTTTGTGAGCACTATAGCGCCTACGTTTGTTTTAAACATTGGGATAGACGATGGATAAGCTGGGACGTTATAGTCATTTGCAAATTTTAACAAGGATTTTTGCCTAGCTCTTCGGTAAGGTTCAATTAGACGCCGGGATATCCAGAAAGATATGGATAGGATAGAGCATTATGGTCGTTCAATGAACTGAATCACAACAGTATAACCCTCTTCTTAACCCGCGGCAAGGCGTAGGGACGGGCACGACAGTTTTAAATAATTTGAACAGAAATTGTATTTAATTAAATGTTTAATTCAATGTTAACTCTAAACTACAGACATTAAATCAGAATTCCTCCTAAAACAGTTGCTGTGTTCTACTAATAAGCTTTGCCTACCGGAGGAATTACATGGATGAAGGGAAGTTATATGTTTAAAAAAACACAAGGAAACAAAAATACTGTGGACAATTTAAAAAAGAAAAAAAAGCATAGTTGGTGGTATGTGTCCACTCACAGTTTAGCTTAATCTTAACAGCAGGGCTGATGTCCACTATCTCTCCACCTGCTGTATCAAGGGTCATTCTGGCTAAAATCTGGTGCTGACCAGGGCCTAGATTCAAAAGTGGAATTTGGAGGCTACAGTTGTTCTGGAAAATTCCATTCACAGGAGTTGAGTGGATTTCAGTAGCATTCTCAATAACAACCAGGTCCTACAAGATATTAAACAATAATTAATTTAAATGATTTGTTCAATGTTATGATAATAAGTTTCTTGCATTTTCTAGACTGCATGAAAACTATAGGCAATGGAAATACAAAGCTGGATTACCAATAAATTATTTTTAACTCTGAAAACATATTTTAATAACTTACCGACACTGACAACTTACAGTAGTGTTAATGTAAAATTTGCAATCCTTCATTTTGTCTGCAGATTCTGATGAACATTTTATAGAGGCTATTCTGTTGTATATGGTTGGCTGGGTGCAGTTGAGGGCTTTCAGTGCAGCTGAAATTTAAGTAAGAATATTTTGTTTTTATTGAACACCAAAAGTTAAATAATATAATATTCTTAAGAACTTAAGCGTGTCACATTTTGTAAAACCACCCCTACAGTTGAAGCAGTGTTTCTTCCAGACTTTTTTCTCCGGGGGGGGGGGGGGGGCACTTGAAATTTTCGTTTGGTGGGGGGGGGGGTGGTAAACTTTCTTCGGGGGGCGGACACTGTTAAAAGTATATATTTTCTATGTAAATTATATAAATTTCATTTCGTTCGGGGGGTGGGGGGGGGGGGGGGATGGGGAGGGTGGTAGAAGAGATGCCTGGAAGAAACTCTGATTTGAAGTAAGACAGTTTTTTTTAGAGAATTCATTTTACATTTGTTTATCAGATAGAAGTATTACAATAATCATTATTATTCTAAAAAATAATTTGATAATATTAAGTTTATGCAAGCCTAATAATATTAATTCTGAAAAATTAATGTCATCCTTAAATAAGAAGAAAGTAGAATCTAGACAGATGTAGATTTAGATCTCTATGAGATGCTATTCATTATCTATAGTTTCCTACTCACCTGTTGTGGTAGTGAATAAGCCTATACTTGTCAGAAATATTGTAATTGCGTTAAACTTTAATCTTGGCATTGTTGAAGTTGTAAATCTTGAAATTTAAAAACAGGGTATAGATAGGACTAAGTTTTAACATTTATTAAAACATTTAATGAAAGTATTAGATCTAGGTTACACAAAGCAGCAGGCAATCTCTTAAAGTAAATTAAATATAAAGAAATATACAACTCACAAACTAGTTGTACTACTTGTACTAGCTTGTGTTGAATTTTCAATAAAATCTAGATTTTTAAAAATTATTTATGTGAAACAAACCTAAAGGCAAAAGTTCTTTTGTACTTGCAAGCCCAGAATTTAACTTGTTTCTTTTAAAAGCAAGTGATAAGCTCTTGCGTCACACAACATTGTAAAATGTTTCAAACATTGAATCTAGGCCAAAGTTTATCACTATGTTACCAGTGGCAGAGGAGTAGGTGGGGTAGGGACTCACCATTACAAGAGAAATCCAATCCATGTTATTGAATGAGGAAAAGCTACAAGGTATTTTATTACAGGTTAATCTTAAGCAACAGTAAGAGTAAACCTGTTGTAGGGCACAAAAAATGATTGCTTAAGAGAAGACTTCATTTTAATATTTGGTTTTATTACAAAATTAATTAGTGCATCTTTTAAGAATTGTTTCTACAACTTAATTGTTACTAGTCCAAACGCAGGGAGATTTATTTCCTCAATAAAATTTGATTTTTTTTATCCCCTGGATGTTTCCAGGTGCAGTTCACACCCCGCCCCGTAACCATAGTGTTCGCATCACAACCCAATAGAAATAAAAGCAAAAGAAAAACTTTTATTAGGTAAAGATATTATCAAATAGGCATCACTATGAATTTATTCAGCTCCATAAAGTTTGGTGCCCTGAATGCGCGGTGGTAGCTTTGTAACTTTTTGCCAAATAATTTGTGTCATGCTAAAAAATCACACACTTGATGCAACACACTTTGGAGGGGGGGGGGGAGAAATTCAGAATTTTGTGATAATGTGTGACAAGGGATAGGGGAGTTTTCAGACAGAAAGTGTGACGTCACACGGCTGCATTTCTAAAAACTAAAAAAAAAATTCTAAAAAGCCCTAGGAGCTGACTTTCAGAGCTACAATTCGTTTATTCTCTTTTTAGAAAGCTTTTTTTTTTTTGTAAATTGTATTGGAAACTAATTAATATAAACATAGGCTTATTCGTCGTTAAATAAATAAATAAATTTAAAAAAAAAATGATATTTAAAATAAATAGAAGCTTTTTAAAAGGATGGTGTAGACTGAGGTGTGACGTTAGTCTGAGGTCTGGATTTCTGTGGCGATGTAAACATTGTTTTAAAAAGCGTTACTTCATTTATGGATGACCCTTGAACAGAACACGCTTTCCATTTATCTTAATTACACAAGCATAATAAATGCATTTATAATCAGGCCTACTGGTTCAATTTGTTGTTTAAATGTTTATGTTTTATCTTGTTCAGTCAGGGTCAAATATAAAATATACTATTTAGTGTGACTTGTACTAGCTTTTAACTCCACATTTCACTATATGAAAAACCAAACAGGATATTTTCGGAAGAGTCTATTATCAAACATTGGTATTACAAATAGGCGGAACACAGTCGAAAGATATCTACACTAGATCTAGGCCTAGATTTAGAAATTCTTGTTAGTCCACTGATGTCAATGGTTTTTACAGTTTGCGCAAAAGATCTAAATTTAGAATCAAAATGATAAGCTGTTGCTTAATAGACCTATTTAAATCTCATTCTGTAAATATAAATCTAGACTGTAGGAACAGTTTTTATTTTAAGAAACCTGGGGCTAGGCCGCTAGATGTATTACAAAAGCTTTAGTATTATTACAAAAAATACAGAACCATATCTTTTTTGAGAAAATAACTTAAGTTTTTTCTTCTTATTCGTGGACAATTATTTTTTAATAGATCTATGATCTATGATATTTGCAGAACTCTTTCAAGGTGATCAGAGATCATGCATGTTATGAGTAATTCGAAATTGTCACGTTTTTTTTTACGTTTTTTAACTCCACCCCTCAACTCATCACAAAAAAAAAAATAAAAAAAAAACACGTTACATCTCAAACTACTATCTTCCCAACCAAAGGGTTTTTGTTTTTTTTAAACATCGATTTTGCTTTCCTAAAATACTAGGTATGGACCTACTGAACTATGTAAACAAAGAGTAGGTATGTTATAGTTCTCAATATTTTGTTAGTTTTCACAAACAGTATTTGTAAATCATGAAATAACAGATAAAAATCAGTTTGTAACAAAACATTTTAAGATATTCTTAAGCGTGACGTCACACTTTCTTAACGCCCCATCCTCTCACACACATGTAACACAATTTGACCCCTCTCCATCCCTTTTCACGGGTGATTGTGATGACGCCTATTATAGTTTTTTATCTTTAAAAAATCATAATATGTCTTTAATAATGTATCGTCATTCTTAACAAATGTATTTAAGTAAAAAATCGCCCAAAATATTTATAAACAAAAATCACATGCTTATGATTCACACGACTACATTGCTTATGAAAACCAAGTATATTTATAACTGGGTGACGCAAATCGACAACTGACAACATTGATTGGTTCGAAGCTTCCGATAAAGCTACCGTATAAAACTCGTACTTTCGCATTTTAGAGAACGTTAAAAAAATTGTAATATATGTATTAAGATTATCTTGCTTATTTTTGGAAAAGCATAATTTATAATTTAAATTTTAGAAACACATGTATGTTTGAAAATATTCAATTTGGGGAGGGGAATTGAAAGGCTGAAACGAAATGTGAAGGCGTTTTTTTTTTGTTTTTTTTTTTACAGAGGATGGGTTCTGGTTTCAAGTTATGATGACGGGGTGAGGAGGAGTTGGGGGGGGGGGGGGGAGAAAAATGTAAATTCAACACAAACAATGTAATGGTTGAGGTTGATTATATTTATAGACAACATCTAGGCTAAATATGAGACAACGTTAAAAATTTAAAATGAGGAAATGGCTAGCTCTTATATAATATAGTGACTGAAAATTTTTAAATTAAAATGTTTCACCTAATTAAATCCATTGGCGTTGCTATGATGAGTGTCAATTTCAGACTTTTTTCTCAAGGGGGGGGGGGGGGGGGAATAGGGATTGAGGTTTGTGGAGGGAGCCTGAAACTTTCAAGGGGTGAGGGGAAGGGGGACAGACTTTATGGGGGGCTTGGTCGTGAAGGGGGCGTGGGGGCTGACACTAGGAAAAATATTTTTATAAACTTTATATATATATATATATATGTATATATATATATATATATATATATATATATATATATATATATATATATATATATATATATATATATATATATATATATATATATATATTTCGTCCAGGTGGGGGGGGGGGGGATAGAATCGCTTCACGGGAGAGGTTTTGCCTCGCAAAGAGCTGTCTGAAAGAAACACACTGCTAATTGTGTTACCCACAATCTTCAATAATTTTACCACCTAAACTTTAATATTTTACGAGGATAAAAATTGTTTTGACCGCATCTCCCGGGCATTTCATTATGACGCTAATTTTTTGATCTATCATAATATGGACGATTTCTGTGAAGTGATGTTGATAGACTACAACATAAAAGAAATCCTATAAATCCCAACTGAATATTATTCATAAAAACATGATTTTTTTAAAAATCTGAAAAAAAATCAAAATAACAAAGTACGATATACTTTATTTGACCATTAGTCTAAGTCTAAGGTAACCCCAGGTAAAAGTTTGTAATAGACACAACTCAAGGAAAAATAAATCCCCAAGTTAGGTGTGATAAAAACCAAAAAAAAGTATATACAAAAAAAGTCTAAAATTAAAATAAAAAAAAAAAACATGACTACGCAAAAACTCCCAGCCAAAATAAGCCGATTACAATCAAAACTGTAACAAACAATACCTTTAGAACATGTCAACCTCAGTACTTTTTTTACATATAGCCTGTACAATGCAAGTATGATGTTAAATTTGTATAATACAAAGATGGTTTTCTATGAGGCTAAATGATAATTATTTTGCTTTGTATAAGATATTAGTATAATAAAAAAAATATCTCACACCTACATTTCGGGAATTTTGCATTCATACTAAACAGAAATGTCTCAAAGTTCTTATTTGTACACAATGCTAATATCCGAAATTCTTGAAGCTAAATAGATCCCATTTTCACAAACTTGAGTTAATTTTTAACGTTGATAACTTGCGCAACTGTTCTTACCTGAGTAAGCCCCGTCCCTGGTAAGTTAGAGGGCCATTATTTAGGCTTGTCTGCCCACCCCTTATTATTTCCTCAGAGAATTGCGAGTTGGGCTCAGTACCGTCACTTGACGTTGGAGATAACGCCGGTCACTATGCACTCACACGTTTCACACCCGATAATTGACCGCTACAGATCTTCACATTGTCTCCAGTTTAACAATCGTGTCATGCGTCACCCGAGCTAACGTCCGGCTACACGGTACTCCCGCCGCGTAGCACACCTGACAACTGACCACTACAGGTCCCCAAGCTGCCTCTCCTCTAACAATCAGGCTGAGGCGACAAAGTCTCCCAATGGTCATCGTAATCGTGTCTGGCGTCCACATGCACGTCATGAGTAATGTCCAAACTCAACTTTAGACATCACTCACCGCGGGTGTTTTCCCATCGTTACGTTTCACTTACGAACCTGCATAGAGCTCATAACCCTTAACGACCGGCATGTGTCGATAACATTTAATTAAAATTCTAGATTTCCCTTGGCCTGACCATCCCAAATATCTTAAATTAACCCATTAGGTGTTTGCAGCTAGCACCTATTCACCTTAACCCCTTTAATACGCACCCAAGTAACTGTTTCAATTTAGAATAAACAGTAGAATACTAGCCAACACATATACAGATATACAACACTATACAAATTGTGCAGTACAAAAGCAATTGTACCGCTAAATTCTATTATTATATAGGCCTACTCCATATAATATATACGTTTTAACTAAACAATACAACACTTAATATTTTAAAATATATTTTATTGCTTATTTAAAAAAAATCATAATAGGTTTTTAAATAATATACAAAAACATAAAATATAAGCAAACAATTAGGTCTAATATGTAATCGGAAAGTTCACAATAAAATTTTAACAAATAAGGAACATACATTTTTGGTTTTAGTAAAATAAGAGGGTATACATTTTAGAGAAATTAAGTTGACAGAAATCATTGTAAGTTTAAAAAACTGCACTAGTGATCTGGAAATATTTCTTCCTGCATGGAGATAGAAAACCCGGTCACCCTGTTAATAAATAATATTACTATTTTAGAGCAAGTTGGTTAGACTTTATCCACTTTGATGACTCTAAAAAAGACTGAGAACGGTTGACCTCCTAGGCAAGTTTTTTTTTTACCCGACTAGTCAGGTAGGCATATAGGGTGTCAGTTTGATGACTTTAATTTACTCTATCCAACTAGTTAGGTACACATAAAAGCAACTTGTTGATATGAATGTCAATAAACAAGTTTGTCTCAAAAAGTTATTTACTGTTTAATTTTTTTTTAAATAGAATATTGGTATTTTGTATTCTGTAATTGTTTTTGCAATAAAATTACATAAATACATTAAAATGTAAATATTGTGTTTGCCGCAATAGGTTTGGCAAACAATTGTACTTTTTTCATAAAAAAAAACCAAATCTTTTCAAATTAAATAACCTTTTATAATCACATCATTTAAACAGAAATATATGCATGTCATGGTTAAAGCTTGAAAGTTTGAATGCGTAAAAATAAAAATAAACGGATAAAAAAGCCAGTTATATATGCTATGTGACTAGGTAAGGATACAAGTAAAAACATTTTATAATCTATACAATTTTCAAAATATATATATAAATGTAATTTTCTTGTAAACATATTTCGGCCTGTCAATTATATTTCTATTAACATGCATTAATTAACAATTTAAATACTTTTTTAGACTGGTTATTATTTTTGACAGAACCACTTTAATGGCATGGTTTTGTATCATTAACTCTTGATTGTAAGTAGAGTCCGATGCTAAAAATGTATAACTAAACAAGGATTTACAATAGTTGATACAATTTAAACAAATATAATAAGTAATACGGTTATATCGCTTTTGAAAGGTAAATAAAAGTTATTAAATAATTTTAGTATATTGAATAAAAACACAAAAATAAAATAATAATTATTGTTTTTTTTTAAATAAAGGAATAAGGTAATTCTTTAAAAATAAATATGGACGCACTAGCTTTATTATTACAGTTTCTAGAGTAAAAAAAATATAAAGTGTACATTGCAAAAATAATGGAATTATAAGATGCTTGGGAGGACCTGTGACAAACCACAAATCAAAGTCTGATTCATTGGGCTATTACAGCCTGCAAATAGGGATGGACTGGGCATGCCTTTAGGAGAGGCCATCATACTGAGGCCAAAATAGTGAGGCCAACATAGAGAGGCGAGTGAAGGGCTGGAAAAGAAAACTAGATTATCCACAGCAATCCTGGTAAAGAACACAGGAAGGAGAAACATGGGATACGGTACTTAAGTGGACTCTATTAAAGAGAGCTGCCCAAAACAGAATCAGATAGAAAGGTAAACTGCAGCCCTTTGCCCCACAATGGCTTTAAAGGTCTAAGTAAGTAAGTGAAGTGAATGGAATAACACTTGATCATAAACAAAGTTAGCCAAAATAAAAACAGTGTATTATTCCCATTCATTTTCCAGATAAGCTTTTCAAAAACCATTTTCTTTAAATGTTTCTATTTGTTAAAATTGACATTTATTGAAGCATTAGCCTTTAAGAAAAGTGTAACAACTTATATAAGAAAATTCCTTTGTAACAAAATTGTCTACAGCTAGCTATAAATTACATAGAGTACACAAGTCTTGGGCTGCACTGACATAAATAAGACAATTACTTAACAAGGGGAGAACTAATGTTACTTGTTACAGGTCACTTGATAACTACATCTAATATAGGGAGAACAAATCCAGTATCCATTAATCCAGAAGTAGAATCTGCTGTTGAAAAAAATGTGATAAAAATATACCGGACATTTATAAAGTAGATATATTTTGATATAAACACTTATTAAACTTTCTATACAAAGACTAAGACTAATTAAATAAGCAAGAACCAAAGGCAGTTTAAAAAAATCTTACCAAAATAGATGAAAGTCAATTTCAATCCAACTTCCACACCAGAGCCCACATGACCATTGCCAGGTACAAGACACAATAAGAATACATCAGCTTGCAGACATTGTTGGCAGAACCTACAAGAGGAATTCAAGAACTTTTTGTTTTAATAAAATGGGTTAAGGTTCAAATAGAGTGCACTAGTTATTATAAGATTGTGACAAGAAAAATATTGATTTTAATAATAAATTAAAGAAAAGTAAAGATTCCAATTATAATGATCCATTGGGCAGAAAAGATATATTTCTTGTTTTTTGAACTCGGCACAGTAAGGAATAATGTGGTCAGAACCCATTTGAGCTGGGTAGACTAGTGCTATACGTCTAGGCCATGCCATATTATTCTACATTTGCCTACATTTAGAATGTACCAGTCAACTATTTTCAGAATTTGAGGAACGTCAGAAAATGAAAGTTTGAAACAACTACTACTTCAATATGTATAAAAAATATGTATGCACAATAAATCATTTTAAAACTCTACACTAGTAATTAATTATAATTGTTTGGTAAACTGCAAAAAATTGATAAGATTTAGTTTACAGTAAGTAAATCTATATCTGTTGATATATTGAGACTTGCTCACACGATACTTATTGATGCATACTTGATTAAAATAAAATTTAAAAATAATATAAATATATATATAAAAACTGACCTCTGACAATATTGAATTTATAGCTGAGGTCTTCACCAACTCCATTTCCAACAACAAGTTTGTACCAGCCTAAGTGTTTCTCTTCAGCTTTGAACACAACACTGACATACCCTATGGGGCCAGTAGTGTTGCTGTATGCCACTGTAAAGTCTTTCATGTTGACATCACTTTGTTTTTCCAGCTTTAGCTTGGTGGGTGCTGGGTAGCCAATCAGTTGGATGTTGACCACAGACCTAGTGCCCATTAGAACACTGTACTTGGCAGGTGTATTGTTGTCATAGATCTCTTGGGGACCTGCAAATTACATCATGTGTTTGGCTAATCAAGAAGATAATATCGTTAAGGTACTTGAGAAATAAAAAGAAGACCGAGTGATTGTACAGATAGCTTAGAAAAAGAAATTGACAATACTTCAACAAAATTAATGTTTGAACATAAATAATAAATTTAAAAGAATTTGAGCTCGAACAAATATTTCACGAATCAATGTTTATTTCAAGATTAGTTAGACAAACTAGGATTTATTTCAGTGATCTGTTTTCTGAAAACCCCTTTTTGTACTGTAGTAATTCAAAAATTTCAGATACAATTGTTTTTCTTAAATCACACTTTTTAAAAACCACATGAACATTTAAGTCGTTTATTTACATTTTCAGTCAAAAAATGTAAATAGAAAATTGTTTTTGGATTTTAAAAAAATTGTTGGTTGGTGTACCAAAAGTACTAAAAACATCAAACACCTTTTATATTTAATAAAGTCTAACAGTAACCACAGGATTAAGTTTTATATCCACATTAATTGTGATAACACTGCACACGACATTAATATATTTAATGGACCATTTGAAACTTTTCCCACTGGGGTCCATTATACTGCCCCTACAGCAATATGATCTATATTTTTCAGGTAAATTATTGAAAATATTCTTTACATTTTTACTCTCTCGAATACGAAATATAGTATATCATAGAGGAAGTATTGTAATAGTTCAACATATCGAAATCAAGATTTTCACAAATAATCTCAACATTTTACACCTCCCTGAGTCAGAAAAACATAGTTTTGCAATTTTGTCTGTATTTCTGTTTGTTGTGTGAGTGTGTGTGTGTGTGTGTATGTCTGTAAACACGATAGCTTGAGTACTGTTATAGCTAAATTTCATATATAAATATTATATGAAATGTATAGATTTGTTTTAACTTTTCAGTGATTTATGTTAACTGGAAGTGGAACTTATTCTACTTTTGGTTTTTGAAAATTCCTATAACTAGAGAACTATTTCAGATAGAAAAGAAATTCACATATTAGTAAGTGATCTAGTTCTCTGACATAGATCAAATATTGAGTAATTTCTGTTACTGAAAGAAGTACTTTCTGCTATTTCCATTTTCTCAAAAAGCGTATATAAATTTATAAAGTAGTATTGTTCCGCACTATTATAAATGAATTGCTTGCTGTTCACTTGGTGTGCAATTATTTTCCAACGAGATTCTAATATATTTTAATATGAAAAAGTAGGCAAAACTTGATTAAAAAGGTTTTTCGAATAATATTAGAGAAAGTTTAGGGGAGGTAGCTCCCGCTTTACTACTATTTAATCTACCTCACATTAACATTTATATCTTTGATTTAGTTTATACATAAATATAACAAAATGATAAACTGCTTCCATACTCCATTGTGTTTTAATAGCAGAAAAATTATTTCAGAACATTTGTTTGTTGTTACCCCTATACTTCCAATACAAACAGACAGGTTAAGATTGTTAAATAATGGCAACTTACAGGAAAATAAATAAACATGTAAGATCAAAACAAAACTCACAGCGCATGTAAACGTTGATGTATTTGGTGTCAGCCACAGGGAAGCCTTGGGTACTAGCTTGACATGAATATTGTCCAGCTTTTCTGCAGTCTGTCATTCTTAACAATGAGATCAGTTGACCATACAAGGAGTGAGCACGCTGTTCCCCATGTTGTGTCAGAGATATTCTAGGACTGGGATTTCCTTTAGCAGAGCAGTTAAATACAAGCGTTGAGTTCACGTTTACTACCGCTTCTGTGTTTGTGCCATTGACAGTGAAGGATGTTAGTTTTGGTGGCACTGAGGAGGTAACAAATATTTATAGCAATATAAATGACATTGGAAGATGATATAATTGTTGATAGCAGTGGAAATATTTATAACTTTCATCGAAAGGTGATATTGTTTTCAATTTGAAGGTAATAAATATATATTATAGCTATAGATGCCAGTGGAATATTGTTAAATGGCTTGATATTGTTGACAGCAATTTGTAGATGTAGGCTATTTCACAATATTAGTAAAATCATGCTCAATAATAAATATATCTTTGTGAGAATAATTTTGATTGTTTTTTTTTTACAATATAAACCAATTTTGCTTAAAAACTGATTATGTAAGTATGATTAGCATAAAAATAAGTAATATTTAATGACTGTCTATCAAATTCCATTCATTAAATGGTAGTCATAGAGTATTTCCGTTACAACAGATTACAATTATCTAGTTGTGAACGAAGCGATCATTAGTGTCTTACGAGTGACCTCCAACATTTATCTGTGTTACAATGACATACAAATTGATTTTTATTAGCAGCAGTTATTGAAAGCTTTTTCATTCTGTGCAGCATAACCCAACATGTAAAACATAATATACATGCCAAATTAGGGGAATATGATATAAACGGTCTTGGTCCGCCCAAGCTAGTCACAGGTGCACAGAAAAACGTGTGCTGTTTCGCTGTAGAGAGAAAATTACAATGTTCAATAAACAGTTAAAATATAAATAAACATTTTTTTAAAATTATAGGCATAATTGAATACTCATTGATTTTGTGTAAATAATAATTAGAATTCAATATGATTGCAATACGTTTACCTAGTCTATAAAATAGCGTGATAAGATTTTAAACTACCTTAGTTAACTTACCAACATCTTCATATGAAACATTCAGCATTGTATCCTGAGTTCCTGTAGCAGGTTTTGTCAAATTTGTGATGACTTCCACCAACCCTTTGTAGTACCAGCCAGCATAGCCTCCAGTGCCTGCTTTGGTCATGATGCAGGTGCAGGTCCTAGTTTCTCCAGGATACATGAGTTTAGAGCCCTGGGATTTGCAAGTAGGGCTCAAGTCTACAGATGGCAAGGCTGGAGGAGATAGACTAAATGAGTAAATTTTATGGTGTATTCAAGTTTGTCTTTGGCATAGAGAAGGGAATAATAGATACAGTAAATGCATTAAAACATGTCCGTAACAAAATGTACTTCATGGTCAGACGTTGCAGCATTAAATGCTAATTCAGAGTTAGGATCCCAGGCCTTAGACAGCTAAAAAGGGTACTTATATATATATATATATATATATATATATATATATATATATATGTATATATATATATATATATATATATATATATATATATATATATATATATATATATATATATATATATATATATACACTAGCGTTGCCGCAGGGATAGAAGAAAGTCCGCGAATAGACCGGGGCAAATCGCACCCTACAGGGGCGTCGGAGGACAAATCTACTACGAACACGATCTATTATCCAAGTGTCTCTCAACTGTCTCTCTCCTGACCAGTGACTGGTCGTTTCACTTCTCACATTGGTCGGGCTAAATGTCGTTCTATTGGTTCCTACCTGCTGACCAATGGCTTCCTATACTAATTTTTAACTTGACCTTTTTCTAATTGTTACCCAAAGATACATAACTACAATGTGCAAATTAAAATTGCACCAATACAGTAAATTAGCGCGGAGTACTTTTGATATCTAACATAAAAGCTAATGGTCCATATGTCATGGTAGTTATTTTTAAATTAACTAAATACCTACTATATGTTACACCTCCAAATGAGCTGTTTTTAACCTGAATGACATCTGAGCCGTTCATGAGTTTCATGGTTAAAAAATACGAATACCGTCCTGCAGTTAAGTTTTCGTATGGTATAGTCAGAATGCAGATATCGTGATAGACGATTGTGTGGTATTGTTCTGCTTCACTATAGTAGGACACACTACCTGGAGCATGCATCTCAACACCCTACGAAGATTTTTATTTGACATGAAATTTTAACAAAATCTTTACGAGCAATATATAATAACATTAAAGTTGAGATTATTGAGTTAAGATAGAATATGCATTATGTTATAGGAAATTGTGCAGTTCTACTCAGATACTTCAGAAGTAAGGCCTTGGTAGAACTAAGGTGATTTTTTGGGACGACAAGGTTGGCTGGAAGAGCACTGGACTGCTAACATGATTGTCTTAAATTTGGAACTAAGAATTGAATTTGTAGGTTGTCAAAAGTCTGCACAGCTCTGATGGGTACCTAACTAATGCTAGAGAAAGTGATGGCGTATGGACATTGTGCTGTCCACCATATGCCATCATATTTTAATTACTTAAACATTTAAAAATAGAATAGAATCTCATAGAAAAAAAAATTGCGCACCAAGCGAACGCCAAAACAAAATGTGCATAATAGTGCGCAAATTTATTAGTACTTTATAAATTTACATGCGTTTTTTGAGAAATCGGAAATAGCGTAAATTAGTACTTCCGGTCAACGGAAATTGCTCAAAATTTGACAGAAGGCAGAGAATTAGATCTTTTACTTACATGTGAAACTATTTATCTATCTGAAATAGTACTTAAGTTATAGGCTTTCGAAAAATTCAAAGTAGAAAAAGTACCACTTCCGTTTATTGGAAATCGCTCAAAAGTTGATCAAGATCTACGATTTTGATAAAATACTTATATATGAAATTTCATCAACCTAGCTGTAACGGTACTCAAGTTATCGTGTTTACACACACAGACAGACACACACACAGACAGACACACAGACAGACACACAGACATACAGAAAAGATTGCAAAATTATATTTTTCCGTATCAGTGAGGTGTAAAACGTCGAGATTTGTAAAAAAAAAAAATCTCGATTTTTTTTTCTGCATGATTAGAAAACTTTCTCTATAGGCCTACTTCGTATATACGAGAAAGTAAAAACAAAAAAAAGCAAGGGAGGTAAAGAAAAAAAAAATGAATGGAGACGAGAAGATGGAGGAATGAAATAGACACTTTAGGAGAATTTCTCAAATTAAAAAAAAAATGGATTGATCTCCCCTAATCTTTCTCGAATATTCTTATATGAAACAACGCGGGATGGCAACTCTGGATGTAGACATGATTTTTAATCCATTTCAAATACTTAAACCTTTTAAAATAGAATAACATCTCTTAAAAAAAAGAACTACACACCAAGTGAACGCCAAATAAAATATGCATAATAGTGTGGAATATTATTAGTAATTTATTAATTTACATGCGTTTTTTGAGAAATCGGAAATAGCGAAAATTACTACTTGCGTTCAACCGAAATTACTTCAAATTTGGTAGAAGACAGCAAATTAGATCTTTTACTTACGTGTGCAATAAAATGTCATTTATCTATCTGAAATAGTACTCAAGTTATAGGCTTTTGAAAAATATTAAAGTAGAAAAAGTTCCACTTTCGGTTATCGGAAATCGCTCAAAAGTTGATACGGATCTACACACACACACACACACACACACACACACACACACACACACACACACACACACACACAAAGACACACATACACACACAGAGACACACGGACAAGATTGCTCAACGATGTTTTTCCGACTCAGGGATCTGTAAAACATCGGGATTTGCAAAAATCTCAATTTTTTTTCTTGCACGATCACAAGACTTTCTCTATATTTCGTGTATACGAGAAATTAAAAAATCAACAGAGAATGGGTGTTATGATGTACGTTTTATCAAGGGTATTTTGATTGTTGGTGGAAAAGATATAATGAGTGCATGGAATGATGACGCAGATAAAAGATAATGAAGTTTTGTGGTAGAAACTGATTGCTGTGGGATGGATGTCATGGAGTTCAGGCTAGGAGGTGAATTAGAGAGGCACTGCATGTGATGTCAACACTAATTCTAATTGTATCATGAATTGGTGGACCCAGTAGTTGAACAAAAAACCCTAAAGTTGAGAACACTAGGCATTTGTCAATGTATTATCGTTTGTCCCAATGTGGATTGGAATGAGTAAGTGTGGTAGTGGAACTCTCACAGCGAAACTTATATGAGCTTGATAGCGGAGCTAAAGTTCAACCCCCACAAATGGCATTTTCAATGTGGAATTATTGCACAGGATTACAAAAATGTCATAGTTGATGCCCAAATGACCCTTTCAGTGTTAAGTGTTAGATAAAGTATGAAAATTCAACTAATACTGTAACCAAACATTACCTAAAATATATCGACATACCTCTAGTGTGATATTAAAATCACAGCTGATATTTAAATATACCATATCAGCCTTGCATGTAAGTATCTCAACCCTGCCTGTCCCAATGTAAAGATCAGATAACGAAGAGACACGAACGTTTTCTAGTAAAGCTGGAAATAAAACGAAAAATCATGAAACATATTTTTTTTCTATTAGATACTAAAATTTCTTTAATTAGTAGCCACATAATGATAAAAAATCAAAACAAATAGAAAATTTGACCCTTGTTCAGCAGATAATTTATTTTTAAAATTCAGTTCTTTTAAATATTTGTACAGAAATAGTATTAAATTAAAGATAAAAAGAAAATGTGTTTCTTGTTCAAGGATCATGCACCATTACATTCCCAAATGATTACTCTAGACAACAGACATTAAATCTAAAAACAGTCCTCAAAACAGTTGCCATGGCAACTGTGTTCTACTGGTTAAGCATTCCCTACAGGACTAATTACAATTTATAAAACATAATAATTTCTAATTAGAAAAAATAAACAGTGAAATACACGTAGGCATGAACGTTTTTTGCTTAAAAAAAACTAACAAAAATAGGTATAAATTGTGATTTGTGTCCACTCACAATTTAGCTTAATCTCAACAGACGGGCTGATGACCACCATTTCTCCCGCTGCTGTATCAAGGGTCATTCTGGCTGAAATCTGGTGCTGACCAGGGCCTAGATTCAAAAGTGGAATTTGGAGGCTGCAGTTGTTCTGCAAAAATCCATTCACAGGAGTCGAGTGGATTTCAGTAGCATTCTCAATAACAACAAGGTCCTACAAGATAATAAAAATTAATTACTACAAAAGCTAGGTTCAATGTTATAATCGTGAACTTTGTGCATTTTCTAGACTAAACCATAATCAATGGAAATACAAAGCTAAATTACCAATAAATAAATTATTTAAAAAAAACTTACCCACACTGAAACTTACAGTAGTGTTAATGTAAAATTTACAATCCTTCATTTTGTCTACAGTTTCTGATGAACATTTTATAGAGGCTATTCTGTTGTATACAGTGGGTTGTTTACAGTTGAGGGCCTTTAGTGCAGCTGAAACTTAAGTTAGAATGTTTTTGTTTTTATTTGAACAGTAAAGGGTAATAAAATAATAGTCTTAAGTACTTAATTAAGTGTGTCACATTTTCTGACTCCACCTATTCCCTCTCATATTATAACTCTTACTTCAACCCATTCCATTTACAGTGGACCGTTTTTATAGAAAACAACGTTTTCATTAATTTAGCAGATAGAAGTATCAAACTAATCGTTATTATTCTAAAAATGAATTAATTATTATTAAATCTATGCAAGCTTATCATTAAGGAACAATTAATGTCGTCTTGTAAAGAACAAGTAAGTAGACTCTAGACAGATGTAGATCTAGTTCTCTGTAAGATGCTAGTCATTATCTATAGTTAGTTACTTACCTGCCATGTTAGGAAATAGGCACACACATGTCAGAAATATTGTAATTGTGTATAGGCTTGGCATTGTTGAACTTGTATATCTTGAAATTTTAAAACACATAAAGAATATAGATTAGTCTCAATTTTAAAATGTATTAAAAATATGTATTAAAATATTTAATGAGAGTATTAGCTCTAGGTTACACCTAACAGTAGACAATGTCTAAGCCCGTCAAAGTAATAGTAAATAAAAGTGAAAAGAAGATAGAACTCACACACTAGAAATATTACTTACTTGATATAGTGAAATGCTGAAAAGCCAGTGAGAAATATTTTAAAAAATCTATATTTCTTAGCTATGTTCCTGAAAGAAACCTGAAACCAACAGTTATTTTGTACTTGTAGGCCCTGAATTTATCTTGTTTCTTTTAAAAGCAAGTGATAAGCTCTTGCGTCAAACCAGTGGCGTTGCTAGGTCGGGTGTCACCCGGTGCAAAACCTCATGGTGTCACCCCCGACCAAATTAAAAAAGTATATGCTATATATATATATATATATATATATATATATATATATATATATATATATATATATATATATATATATATATACATATATTTATACATATATATATATATATATATATATATATATATATATATATATATATATATATATATATATATATACATATATTTATACATATATATATATATATATATATATATATATATATATATATATATATATATATATACATATATATATATATATATATATATATGTATATATATATATACATATATATATATATATATATATATATATATATATATATATATATATATATATTTATATATATATATATATATATATATATATATATATATATATATATATATATATACACCTATTAAGCAACGTTTTCATAATAAATTATTAGATATGGTTACACTCCAAACTGGTCTTTGATTTACTTTAATTACCAGTAACTGAAAACATTTGACAAATATCGTTTCCTCTGAAAATTGTGCAGTTGGTGTCACCCTTGGGTGATAGCTTTTAGCAGTAACGATGTTTATCTATAGTAGTTTATTAACACAGTTGGATTTTGCATAGCTTTCTCTATAGTTAGCAGGTTTACGTCATGGTGTCACCTCCCCATCCTTGTTGGGGTTTGTCAATTTGTATTTGCAAGACTCTAATTAATCATTAATTAACTTGCAAAAACAATTTTTCATCTATTTTTTTTGCAATTGTTTTGTCTTGGTGTCACCCCTAAATTGTGTCATCCGGTGCTGTCCGCACCCCTCGCCTCCGCCTCGCGACGCCACTGCGTCATACAACATTGCGAAATACTTTCAACAAAGAATGTAGACCAGGGTTTAAATGACTATGTTACTAGTGACAGTGGGGTTGGTGGGGAAGGGGTTGGTTTTTAACCTCTCCTATGAACCTTTATCAATCCATGTTATTGATTGAGGGACACCAGAAAGGTGCTACTACAGGGTTTTTAATTCCTCCATAAAATGGGATTTGTTTTTCACTCCAGTTTTTCCAGATGCAGAAGGCAACCCTCGCCTTTGCCATACTCTTTACACCATAACCTCGTGAAACTGCGGCTAAAAAATGTGTTATTAGGTGAAGATGGTATAAATAAAGGCATCAGTACTCATTGTGTATTGATTTCAGTCAATAAAGTTTTGTGTTTTGATTACGCTGTTGTAACTTTCTGTCTCACACGGTTGCATTTTTAAATTAGGGGTCGGCGTGGTCGAGTCGGTTAAGCTCATGGTTGGTAAACGAAAAGGTTTCGGGCAGATGAAGCTCGTTAGCTGGGGAGAGCCACTCTTCTAGGAGAGACAACTGCTGCCTTGTAGTTTGTTCTTGGTTGGACAAAGGCTATGGAAGCAAATCTAAAATGAAAAGCAGGCTGAAATCGGAGTAAATGGCCTCAATGGTTCACAACAAGTTGATTCTGTCAGAGGGGATCCCTTCCAATCCACTAAGTATGAAGAAAAACAAGGACCTGAATTTCAGCCGTTAATTCTCGTTTTAGAAAGCTGTTTTTGCAAATTGTATTAGAAACTGAATAATTTAGGCATAGGCCTGATATCTCAGTAAATATTTTAGAATAAAGTTGATATTTAAAATAAATAAAAATTTTCAGGGAGGTTGTAGACTGAGGTGTGACGTTAGTTTCAGTGGGGGAGGGGTGGGGGCTGGCTTTCTGTGGCGATTTGTGAAGGTGTAGATAGGGGAGGTAAATAACACATTTTTCATTGATCTCAATTACAAAAACAGAATAAATGCATTTATAATTACTGGTTCAATAAGTTGTTCATACATATATGTTTTATCTTGTTCAGTCACGGTCAAATATAACAAACACAATTTATTGTGAGTTGTGTTTTTAGCCCCACATTTCACTATATGAAAAACCCAGCAGGTCTATTTTTTGGAAGAGTCTGTTATCGGACATTGGTATTACAAATAGGATCACAAATGTGAAAGATATATAGACTCGATATCTAGGCCTAGATTTTAAAATCCTGGTTAGTCCACTAATGTCGAAGGTTGTTACAGTCTGCGCAAATGAACTAAATTTATTTCCATAATAGTCAACAAAATGATTAGGGGTTGCCTAATAGGTACTATTTCAATTTCATTTTAAAAAGAAATTAGATCTAGACTCTAGGTGCGGTTCAGGTTTTAAGAAATCTGGGGCTAGATTGCCAGATGCATTACAAAAGCAGTGCCGGCGCTATCTAAAAGGCGAACTAGGCGGTCGCCTAGGGCGCTATCCAAAAAAAGGTGGGGGGGGGGGGGCGCAAAAATGTGTAATCGCCATTATTAAAAATGAACTTATAATTAATAACTATGATTTCAGTGGCGTAGCTACCGTAAAGCTAGCGTAAGAAAGGCATAGGGACCCAAGGCAAATATAGGCCCTTTTTCTAAAGTTTGAGGGGGGGGGGGGTGCAAATCAAAAGTATGACGGGGGGGGGGGGGGGTGCATATCGAAAGTTTGTCCCCGGTCTCCGGGAAGGGTCCCTACGACTCTGAGGGGTCCACTAACACCAATTTTTGCATAGGGGCTCGAAAATCCTAGCTACGCCACTGTATGATTTTCTATCTTCTATCTTATATATATATATATATATATATATATATATATATATATATATATATATATATATATATATATATATATGAAGCAATGTTTGTGTGTCTGTGTGTGTCTGTGTGTGTCTGTGTGTCTGTCCTTTATGGATTACTTCACCTTTGATCCGGTCACCATGAAACTTTGTGAAACTGTTAAGAATACTCCTGGCGAGGTTTCTGAAAAATAAACACACAAAAAAATCAAATTCGCAATTTTTTTTACTTTTCTATATATGGTATACTAAATAAAAGTCGGTTGCGGTTTGACACTATTAAAATGATCGCCGCCGAACATTGTGTAGTTGATATGAACACTCATGGGAGGTTTCTGCAAAAAATCTTTTTTTTTTAATTTCGTAAGGGTGACGCCCCGGAAGGGTGCGATTTTTCTATATATATGGTATATAAAAAATAAGATTCGAATGAGACTCGACACTGTTTATCCGATCGCCAAAAAAAAAAAATCCACATAAAATTTATGAAAAATAGGCAAAGGTTTAAAACATTTATATAACTTATTGCTCTTCTTTAAATAGTCGAATATTGTTAACGATAAAGCTAATTTAAATAGTTTGGTACTTAGCAAATAAAAACGAATATTTTTTCTCTAAATTTGTATTTAAAAAGGATCCTGGCAAATTAATAGGGTATAACAATTAATTAATTCGAATTTAATAATACATATGCAAAAAAGCATACGAATAAAGCTAACTAGGAAAACCATTACACATATCAAGTTTTCTTGTTTCATATTCTTGCGACAGACTTCAAGAATAGAAGGTACACATTCATAATTTTCAGCGAGCATAAATGGGTTATTATAAAACTCGATAATTTCAGGCCAGAAGTGAGTTTGTGCGGTTTGGTGCCTTATGATGGATACACTTTGCAATGAAAAAAATTAAAGTTTAACTTAAAATTTAGTAAGACTTTCTACTGATACACACATACACATACACAAACACAACATACTCATATAAATAAATAAATAAATATATATATATATATATATATATATATATATATATATATATATATACAATTATTTTTCAGTTTACCCTTATTAAAGTCACACCTCAAACTACTACCATCCCAACCAAAAGTTGCAGTTTTTTTTTTAAAACATCGATGTTTGTTTCCTAAAATAACAGTTAAACCTACTGAACACGGTTTAAAAAGAGTTGGTATGGTATAGGTCCTAATATTTTAATTACACTTTTCACAAACATTATTTGTAAAACAAAAAATAAGAGATAAAACACAGTTTGTTACATATAACACAATTTGACCCCTCTCCACCCCCTTTTCACAGGTGATTGTGACGACGCCTAATACAGATTTTTATCTTTAAAAAAAATCATAATATTATCTTTTCTTCTTTGCATCGTCATTTTAACCAATGTATTTAAGTAAAAAATCGCCGAACATATTTATAAACAAACATCACATGCTTATGATTCACACGACTACATTGCTTGGGAAAACCACGTATATTTATAACTGGGCGACGCAAATCGATAACATTGATTGGTTAGAAGCTTCGGTGGTTTCCGATAAAACTCCCGTATAAAACTCGCCACTCTACACCAGCGTAGTTTCGCATTTTAGAGAACGTTAATAAAATAATTGTGATAAATATTAAGATTAACTGGCGTTGTTTCGGACAAGAATAACTTATATTTAACATTTTTTTTAAAAGCATTGGACTAACGATTTGGGCAGGTGGACGGGTAGGCTGAAATGAAGTGTGATGTTGTTTTACATGGAGGTGTTCTGATTTCAAGTACCACGGGGGGGGGGAGGGGGAGGGGGGTCATGTAAGTTAAAATCAACACAAAAAAATTTACTGTTTGAGTTTGATTATATTTATGGACAAAATTTAGGCTAAATATAAGACAACGTATACATAATACAAATTAAGTATTAATTAAGTCAAGTGGGGTTACTAGGTGAGTGCTATGTTGTGTGTTAACTGATTGTCAGTGTTTCTTTCAGACTTTTTTTCTCCGAGTGGGGAAGGGGAAGAATCTGAAACTTTCAAGGGGCGGACGTATGTTAGTCGTCCCCCCCCCCCCCCCGGAGAAAAAAGTCTGAAAGGAGCACTACTGGTTGGCATGCTGTTGATCACTGGACGGCTTTTTGAGTTACTGAC